AAAAAAATATTGCTGTTACTAAGATCACGCTGTTAGAGAGGCGTCAACAGGATGAAAGACCGATGATGGAAATTAATGATATGGATTTCTGTGGTGTGTGAAATACACTTTACTCTCGTAGATATACATACTCTTCACATCTTATAATATGGAGTATACAATTTTTGAAAGGAAGCGATATCGTTCGAATAGATTTCCGGTATTTAATCATCTGAAAATATTTTTATGTACACGCGCATTTTTGTGCTTAGCGTCTGGGGAACCTGATGTTTCAGCGGATTTAAATAACCGTTTTTAGAGTTTACGTTACGCGATAAGATGATTGTATATGTATGTTATGCTTATTTACTTATACGAGGCTGAATTGGTTTTAAATTCTGTATAATCAAGCGGTTTCTTCTTATACACAATCCGCGAGTGATACATACGCTAGCATTTTTTTAAACATATTTTGAACTGAAATACATCTAGATAAACGCCTGTTTTGCCTAGTACTCTTTAATTTCAAGAAATAAATGTATAGTCGAATTTCAGAATGGAATTACATTCTTCACGGTTAATTAAAATGCCTCTCACTTAGGGTATCAAAATGTTACAAGCTACTGATGATATAAGTGGTCTTTAGAAAAATCGCACGGGAAATAAAGGTTTTCAAAATCAAAACGAGATTTTATACGTCTGTAATTGCAACTAACATGAAGTCACTTCTTCAATATATTCCATTTGAGAAAAATCGTCTTTTTAAATTGAACTAATAAGGTTTCATTTTGAAGGTCTTTTTATCCCTTTCAACTCTTCTGCAGAACATTTTTTATGTTCAATGAGCTTCCTAACATTTTTGTCTGTTTAAGACTTCACATTCCTTGTTAAATTCGCAAATACTGTTTTTTCTAAAACAGTGCCAATTTTTGGGTAGTAAGCCAGCTATACTGGTTCATAATCAAAATTTGATATCTAAGGCCTGCATAATAGTTGCTGCATTTTGATTAGTTGAGTATGACTTGCTGACATCATCTTTGAATAGATACATACAGCAAGCAACTATCTTTGAATTTTCTACTTACTCCATGAATCTTAAGATACAAGCATGATTTTGATGTTTTTATTAATTTAAGCAACAAATCTGACTCATCGCTTGCACTGCACAAATCTGCGGATGAAACTATTTAAGATGACAATGAGATAATAGTTACAATTCAAACGTAATAAACTTAATTGGCATGGCTACTATGTATTTTGGCCAGACATGTTTGGTTCGTGACAGATACAGCTTTGGTAAACAAGATCAGTTAAAATTTCATCGGGATTTCACAATATCTTGTTTCTTCTTGCACTAGAGGTTGTGAAATAATCCCTTAGATCTTGATTTTACCAAAAAAAAAAAAATAAAAAATCGAATAGCAACGCTTCCAAGACATTCATTATAAACTGAATAAGTAATTCGGATAGAAAGTCTGGCAAGAGCTATTAAACACCGACTTCAGTTCATAATTTCTACTATAGGCACACGTAATATTTACATTTTCTCTCATTAAACTTTATGGTAAATCTCTTGAATAAACAACTGCAGTTATTTCCTCATTTGCTAACACTATACTACTGTAAACATCGTTCGTGTATATGTTATCGCATATTAGGAAGATTACAAAATGTGCCAGTCCAGTATTGCATGATTGTAGCATAATCCGTTCCTTGTTTGCTATGGATTTTAAAGAATCTCAGTGTTGAATACCTATAAATAAGGCTGTACTTCTATTCATTTTTTCTATTACTGTGTCTTATCATCGGAATAGTTTCTAACAGTCTAATCTAGCTATGTGTTGTGTGCCTTCAATTTGACCCATTTGATTCTCTCTATGCGTCACCTAATAAGAATTCACTCTCAAAACTATTTTGCGAATTGTGTTCGCAATAATAAACCTCCTTTAAAATTTATGTTTCAAAAGCATTATAGAGCATGTGATATGGACTCAGAATTTTTGGGGGTTGTAGATACGACAGGGATTTACATAACACACAAATGTAACATTTTGTTATAGAAATTTCAAATATTTTTTTGGAAATACTGAAATATGAAGCAGCCAGTTCTCCTACTACAACATTCTACCAAATACGTGAAGTCTGTGTGGAAACTAGGAAATGTATTGAGGGTCGTGAACTTGACTACTATTGATAGAAAAGCACAAAGATTGCAGAGAAAAACACGGGCTTGATCTACAAATATTTTCCCTATCCAGTTGTTGTAAACTTCTTTCAAAGCATGCAGAAGAAAGGCCCTGAAATTGTGAGGACCCTTAGAACTTCAAATGTTCCCTAAAGTAGTGGAGATCCTTCACCTCACCCCATTGTAATGACGACATGACACTGTATGACATGTTTAAAGAAACTTTCCATCTTATTTTTAATGTACTACCTACCCTAGAAACAGTACTGTCTTAAATCAAACTTCATAGGACTATATAGTGTCAATTTTGTATTTGTTTCTTAATACATGTAGTTTAGTAGTTCACCGGTGAATTGCTTACGAAAAGAAAAGGGGAATAAATATTCTGTGAAAGTATATAAAAATACCAATGGTCACTATATAATTTCCTTTTAAAACTAGCGATCGATATGCTTGTCATGTACAACATTTAGTCGTTGAATACATAAGTTGAAAATTCTGATTGTTTGTAGTGCTGTTTGCCTTCAAATATGTTTATACACCGTGTGCGTAAGAATCTGATACGAGGGGCATTGCTAATTATTACAAAAAAGTTTTCTTTCGCTCCGGCAATTTTTTCAGGTTTCTTGGATTATTCTGAACAAGAAAGATCGTCAGTAACTTTTCTCTAAAGTTAGTCGTTAATCTGCTACACCATATTTTTAGGTGTTGATAAACTTTTACAATTCCAGATCGGGATAGAGACTACATAGGTTTTGCTACCTTGCCCGACCAAGTTCATCGTAAGTCAGTGAAAAGAGGCTTTGATTTCACGCTTATGGTGGTAGGAGAATCGGGGTTGGGAAAATCAACCTGATAAACAGCCTATTCCTTGAGGACCTATACAAAAACAGGAAAATTCCGGATGTCAGCGAGCGTATCCACAAAACAACAACCATTGAAAAGAAAACGATGGAAATTGAAGAAAGAGGTGTCAAACTGAGGTAAGGGATGTTTTAGAAGTTCTTTAAAACATGATAATTTCGAAAAAAAGGAAAATGTAAAATGCTGCAAAAATGCTAAACCCGCAGACTTTTCGAAATTATGGATAGTTGAAATTTTATGATATAGTGTTGCTTAGCTGAGTGACCTATGGGCCATCATATTACTCAATTCCGTTGGTCTCTCTGTGTAGACTGTTGCACTCTGAATTTTTGATGACATAGGGTTACTACTATGGTGAGGACAATGAATCCTGTGAATTTTGTAAATCACTCGGTAGTTATGAAAACATAAAAAAGCATAAAGCGTTCTGACGGATACGTTGCCGAGACTCCTGAGCATTTTCGGATGTTTTTTAAGAGTAAATATTGGTGGTGACGGTCTGTAGAGGATAAAGGAAGATGAATCTAATCTTTTTTATTTCTTAGTAAACTTTAGTTCCTGTTATTTCAGGTTGACAGTGATTGACACACCAGGATTTGGAGATGCAGTCAATTGTGAGGATAGTTGGAAAGTGTGCATCAATTATATTGACGAGCAATTTAGGCAATATTTCACAGACGAAAGTGGACTAAATCGAAGAAACATACAAGACAATAGGGTACACTGTTGTTTGTACTTCATTCCGCCTTGGGGCCATAGGTAATTATGATAAAATAATATAACCCTGAAAACGAACTTTGTTTTCACATTAAATGTATTTCTTTCATACTAAATTCGATCAAAATGCACGATACCTTTTCAACAGCGTAAATGACTCGGTTGAGCAAAATTACTTATCATACCTTTATTGGTATAATTATTTATTTATCTAAATAATTAATTTGATTACATTAATTTCAGCTTGAGGCAAATGGACCTCGAGCTCATGAAAAGACTGCATCGTAAAGTAAACATAGTTGTAGTTATAGCCAAAGCGGACTGTTTAACTACTGCAGAAGTTGCCAAACTGAAGAAAAATATCTTGAGCGATATAAGAGAACATGAAATTCAGGTACATTTTTGATTTTACATTTGATAACCGTAGAGGAATTTTATTTTTCTAATAGCTGTTTAGGCAACTCATTTATCGAAATAAGACAGTACAAAGAACCATCTATTACAATAATCAGCCATTGCAAGACCATCTGTTGGAACTGTATCCCAGTTCGCATTGTCAGCCTGCACGTCATTGTGACCAATGTTGGTGCTATATACCCTAGTAGCGAAAAGGAAGAGAGCAGCAAAACACAACGCACGCTACTGTAAGCGCGTCATCCCTTTGAATTGACAAGATCTGAGCGAGAGTATCTTGCCGAGTTGAAGAAGATTACGTGCTGACCAGTGGCATGCGACGTTTTCGGCTGCTCTTTTCCTTTTCGGTACTCGAGTATAGTAGATACGGTCTACTCTACATTGAACAAACTAGTAGACCTAGATACAGTATAGTTGCTCAGCTTTCTTTCGTTGTTCTACCTGAGACCAAGCGTAGATCATGCTGAGGAGCTGCCAAATAGCACGAAATAACTGCCTATGATTGACCGTCTGTGGTCAGAGGAACGAAAGCTATCTTACTAGTTTTATAAATACATTTAGTTTCTCCTATTGCTCCTCCACTGAAAAACAGACTAGTTTTTAGAAATGGGTCTGCAGCCTTCTATAATTGCTTCTGGTGTGGCTTCATGTACTTTTATTCATGAATATGAAGGTCGAAAATGATTTTGCTGTGAAACTATCATTTGATTACGTCTATTTTTACATTAAAATCCACATACATAGGTTCAATGAATTTCTTTATTGTCTCCAATAGATGTATGAGTTTCCTGAATGTGATAGTGACGAAGATGAAGAATTCAAGCAACAAGATAGAGAACTGAAGGCTAGCATTCCATTTGCAGTAGTTGGCAGCAATGTTACTCTAGAAATTGCAGGAAAGAAAATTAGAGGAAGGCAGTATCCTTGGGGAGTTGTAGATGGTAGGTATAGTACGCTTGAATTCAAGGAAAGGGGGTGCATGGGATGATCACAACTCATCCTCCGGCAAATCAAGGTGTTCTGCTCAAAGGTAATATGCGAGGTCTGTAAATTAAGTGATGAGACTGGCGACACGTAGCGTTTGATTTGGCAACACTGAAGGCGCCGGGCTTGGAGGGGACACAGGAGAACATGTGATCCGCCTTCAATATTTGAACTCTCTCGAATCATTTAGTTGTCCGTAGCGATTTTTTTTAACAGTTTCTTCTATTGTGTTCTAAAAATTAGCGACATCATTGAGCAACGGTGTGCTATCAGATTTTGCTTTAGACTTGGGTACAGTGAAACGGAAACTCTTGCTAAACTTCAGCAGGCCTACGGAGATAGTGTTTTGTTCAGAGCTCAGGTTTTCGGTAGTTTAAGGCATTTTCAGAAGATGAACCGCGAAGCGGAAGACCTTTATCTTCAAGAACCGATGAAAATATTGACAGAATCCGGGATGTTGTGCATTCAGATTGTCGGTAGACGGTCAGAATGATTGTGGACGAGTTAAATTTGACACACACCACCGTTCACCAGATCACCAGATCAAGAACCACTGGGTGTTACAGCACCATAATGCTCGTTGTCACCCAGCAATTTCGATTAACGGGTTTTTGGCAGGTAAAAACATTCCTGTGGCTAATGAGCCCTCTTATTCACCTGACTTGAGTCCTTGAGACTTTTTTCTCTTCCCGAATTTGGAATATCACCTTAAGGAAACCTATTTTGGGACAGTCGAAAATATTCAAAAATAAGTTTTTTGTTTAAAAAAACTTAATTTCATTTAGGTTGCGGAAATCTATGACCATGCGGTACTTTTTTTTGCCGGAAGCATCAGGCTTCTTGTTTACAATCCACACTGGGGAGCTATAGGGGCTGATACTTGGACGTATAACTTCATCTTGGAGCAAATTATTTACTTGAATCTGAATTTCTTTTTTGAGATGGTACGGGTATCGGTAGGACTTTACAAAAATAGGGTCATCATGTTGAGTGCGAATTTTGTGAGATGTTACATTACAAGCTTTTCATTCGGCTTTAAGAAAGCTTGAGGATAATTTTGACAAAGTCCTATAATTTTAGATTTTTCCTCTAAATTCATATGTTCAGTACGAATCAAATCTTTCATTACTACTTTATTAGTGGGGAACTGAATAGGTTGAATATCGAATTCATCTACAGACATGGCTTGGACATTGTTAATTTCTAATAATGATAGACCTTCGGGATATAAGACTTCAAAATATTGGACTTTACTTAAACACGCTGGGTAAAATTCATTAGAGTCAAGGTACTTGATAGAGGGTACTAAGAAAGTAGGTTTCTCGAAAATTTTATTCGGTTTACGAGTTGGGATTCTTCCGGTACGACAAAGTATATCAATATTACCTAGTTGTAATTTATTTTTAGAAATATCAAAGGTACAGTTTAGTTTTTGAAGTTCGTAGTAACCTAATGGAAAGGTGTCATGCCAATTCACTAAAAGAAATTCTATTTCTGACTGAATATCTAATTCGTAAAAAATGGGGATACCATTTTTGCGATCCTTATAAGCTTTGATAGAAAAGTTTTTACGGTATATGTATTCTGGAAAAATCTGAAATGCTAAATCCTGATTCATTAATGAGGCGGATGCTCCAGTATCGATTAGAATCAATAAATCTAAATTTTGATTATAAATGTAGGGTATTTTGTTACAAATTAATATCTATGTCAAATCGTTGTTTGTCGGGGGCTCCTGATAATTTTCATTTTCAATTTGTTCGAATTGTTCATCGGGAATTTCTTGTGACGGTAACATGTGAGGGTTATCAGAAGAAATGTAATCTTCATCGTATTCGTACACGGGTCCTCCAAAATCCATATTAGTAAGTTCTTCAGAAATAAAGTTTCGATTTTCACCATTATTGGTAAAGAAATTTGGGCGGTGCATTGGACGAGATGCTTGGGGCTGTCTATTGACAGTAGAGGTGGACAAAGGAGTTGGACCTTGAGTCTGACTAAACGGATTATGGAATGAGAGGTAATCAGCATGAGGGTTTTTAAGGCCAGTAAGAAATGAATTAAGTGCTTAGCGGTTGTACATAGAAATTAAGTGAGGTGCAGCATGAGGAAGTTCAATATAAGCGTGATTTCTAAGGTTACTAAGCTTTTCTTGAATTTCCTGATGGAATTCTACTATAGTTTGTTGGGGTTTTTGAAAACAGGTTTGTAAATCAGCTAATAAATTTTCTTCACTCCTGGTATCTTTGTAGTGACGAGTTAAAATTTTTTCAAGATCTGACCAATTTTGAGGATTGTGGATATATAGCAAGTTTACTGCATCATCTTTTATGTGAGTCTGTATGTAAGCAAATGCTTGTGTAGACCTGTAGAAAATATCGGAATAGTATTTTTCATTAAATAGAAAGTCATTCTAAGATCAGCATTATTATTAGTGGCCATATTTACTGGTTCAGAAACTTCTAAATCTTCGTGGAAATCTGATACAGAATTTTGTTGTACTGAAGGTGAAGTGACACTAAGGTATGGTCTAAAGCGTCTTCAGTCATAAAAATACAGAAATATACTTAAAACTAGAAATAATATGAGTCTAAGAGGTAGATAATTAATTCAAAATTTATTAACTGATTGAAATTTGTTTCAAAAATAGAATGGCAAATGGTTTTGAATTATCATAACGTGAAATTGTTCAAAAGTTACTGCGCAAATAATAGTAAGAGCTGTAACATCTGGAATCTTCGTAACCTTAATGGCTCTGCGAATTTTCGTAGATTCAGCCTACTGGGGTGAACTCGATACCTCGTCTCGTAGTACTGCAGAACGGCTCTATGTTGAGTTAGCCTGGTACTATTCGAGCTTTTTCTCGGCTAGTTTTGATGTTTTCTTCTCAGGTTCGTGGATTGAAATTAAAACTTGAAAGTTACCTCCGGATGTGGACTTGCAGCTATATCTTGCCTTGAATCTCCCAATTAGCACCTTACAGTTGCAGCGCACAATCTTCCCTTTGGATGTGATGTGTGAAAATTCTTACCGTACTTGGCACCGGCATAGAATTCACTTTCCACTAGCGTGACCAAAGGCTTCAATCCTGTTCGCAGCGCCAAATAAGTTTTTTGTTTAAAAAAAACTTCTTTTTAAAATCTCTAATAAGATTTTATTCACCTAAGGATGTACAGAACTCAAAGACTTACAGAAATCGAATTGTTCTACCATCATATTTTACAGAAGGTATTCATATCAAGATACAAAGGAGTGCTATTTTTTAGCTTAGAGTACAAACAAAAACATATCTCACAATTTCTCAGATAAAGGACGTATAGCGTTAAGTGGAGCTGGAGGCTATATTCCAGTACCGGAGTCACATCACTGCTCTGAGGAGTGGTAGAATCATCTCCAGTGCTGTGTGGCTTCAGAAGGAAATTATTTTTAAGGTGACAATATAAAAATGTAATTATATTTGAATAATAAAATTAAAAAAATCCGTCTCATCACTTAATTTACCGATCTTTTACCGATCTCGTACCTTTCTAAATACATTGATCTGACTCTCAACCTAGGCAGCTTTTTCAGGACTACATTTTTTGCATTTGAGTGAAAATTGATGTTTTCAATAAAACTTAGACAATCCAAGTTATTTTTGAATACATTTATCCCATCTCATTAAAATAAACTCCAGCACTTTAACCCTGTGAATCAAAGTGTAGCCCAAATTTTTCTAACCAAATTGTACGAGTTGCAGCTGAGCGTCGATTCATGCATAGGGTTTTCGCGTACTCGGACTTTTTTATATCCGGTATCAGGTATTTTTTGAATACCCGTCTACCTGGGTCGTATCCGGGTATTTTTCATTGTAAATGAAACTTCATATTATACATCAGTTTGGTCAATTCAAATATGTATGTACACATAAAAAATTAACTTCCAACACCAGGGGAGGGCAAAGGGGTGGGGGTCAGCTACCCCCTTTTTCTAGCTCAGCAAAAATTAAATGGAGAGAACATTTTCCGTACTACCACTTCTGTGTAATGCTTCAATAATTTTTTCGGTGGCATAATTAGAATTTTGATCTGACGTTTCAGCTCTGTTTTTTTAAATTATACCGTGTATTACCTAACTATATGAAGTTAATCACTTGAAGTTTTATATAAAAGCGTAACATGTTATCATCTTTGATATCCTGTTAATGAAAAAAGATTGCAAAAATATCAGTGCTTCAAAGGAACGACCCGAAAGCCAGTTCCGTGCGTTTGTTACAAAACTTCTTGCAACAGAGAAAGCTTTTTCGTTGTCGAAGTTGGCTTCATGAATAATAGGGCTTTATATATTATATCTAAATTGCCAGTTCTGCTCTTCCTGACGTCGTAAGTACATCTAAAACAAGAATTCACAAAATGAAAATCAAGCTTTAAGATGTTATTTGCAATGAATTATAATTCAAGTTTATAAAACACTAAACTAATTACCCCAAACTTTGTTTTCAGTTTTGTTATTCCTGCAGGCGATGTTGCGGATAGAGGATTCTTTGTCTTTGCGTTGCGAATGAAGCAGCAGTTGTGTCGTGCAGCGTGATATCATCACTTGAATTGTCTTTGTTTTCTAGATAACCTTTTGCAAACAAACGCACCAGTATGCATACCAGCATACCATATTATGCTTGCTTTTCACGCATTACGTAACGGAATTTGGATTGACAGATAAACTATTATCCTAGAATGCTGTGTAACTTTGCTTTTAGAACGCCACCAAGCTCTTCAGTAAAAGTCACTTGTTCCAAAAATATGGTAAGCGAAACAAATGACTATCTGATACTTTCAAGGCCTACCTAGAAAATTCTGCATTCTGAAATAACTAAGGTTTGGCGACGTCAATGTATGACGTGTTGTACATTCTTGGAATCAGAATTTAAAACTCTATTTACCTATGCAAAAATCTAATATGGCGTCCTTAAGAAAAAATAAAGTTGATGCTGGAGGATAAGGTACGAAACGTCATATTGAAATTCTAATCATGTCGTCTTGTAGAGGAGAAAAAGTTGCAATGTTAATGTACAATTTATTTTGAAATCCCACTACAAATAAAGTTAGCAAAAAATTAGAATCGATTTTTTGAACATTCGTTTTTTTCCGTCTCTCTCCGGAAGTACTTTGAATTTCGGAACTTTATAAGCCGCATTTTATTGGATATCTAAATACGCAACTTTGCCCTCATTTAAGTTAACTTCGTAACTTTTACAGTTTCCGAGATCCCAATGATGCGAGTCAGATTTGAAACACCCTGTATAAAAAGCAATAAACAAATAAATAATATCACGCTGCTTGTACCTGTATTACCATAATTAATACCAACATACTACACTTCGTGTCGTTAATCACCGGTAGCTCATTTATCGTGAAAAATTGATAACTGAATAATAACGTAAACAAATATTGAAACACGAGAATCATAAGTGGCCATATACTCTTATATCCAAGATTTTGAGCTCGAATACTCCAGAAAGTATCGTTGGGCATCTGCTCAAATAAAATTCTGATTCAAATGAATGTTGCCAGGCACAAAAAAGTGTAAAAAATTGTTGGATACATTTTTATAGACATATTCCAGAAATTGCTTTTCTAGGAATCTATGGGTCATTCTTAACGAAAAAGATCCTGATGAACTTTTCCCCAAGGCGCTAGTAGTTTATTACCCTGAAAAATAAAATTGCCTATACTTTATTGATACCTGGGTACCCGGGTTTATCGTCGAGTATTACCCCGGTTTATCGTCGAGTATTACCCTGGTCCGAAAGCTCTTGGATACCCAGGTATACGTGAACCCGCGACCAAAAACCCTATTCATGTATCTCTCCTTTTCATTCCTTTTAAGAGATTCTAATGACCCAGTTTTTGACTCCGATCGCCAGTCATTCAGTCTTCTCTTCCCCGATAAAAATTTAGAGGTTGTGTTATATCTATACTGTTTATAATGCATCTACTTTTTGTAGTCGAAAACCCCAAACACAGCGATTTCATAAAGCTCAGGACAATGTTGATCTCAACTCACATGCAAGACTTGAAAGATGTCACAGAAGATGTGCATTACGAAAACTTCAGAGCCCAATGTATTTCACAGATATCTCAGCATGCTAGGGAACGAGGGTATGTAGGATATAACAGAGTTAATTTTGGATGAAGCATCGATGATTTTTATTTGCTTCTTTTTTACAGGAAACTAAAAAGGGACTCAGCCCCGTACGAATCCGATATATCTGAAACAGACAGGTTGCTAATTCAAAAAGACGAAGAGGTAAATGATTACTTTTAAGCAAAGAGTTAGGAAAAGGCAGAACAGTGTGAAACGTTTTTCCAGACAGCGAATGGAAATATCCCTTCAGAAAGAAAACTAACCGAGTAAAAATATTATCTCTTCACAAAATATTTTTGAGAAAAATATTTCTTCTTCTGTAAATATAAAAGTTGCGGTGGTGATTAACCCGCTTAAAATACATAACAGAAGTGGTGCCAAGAGAGCCAGCGTCGATACTGGGTGTTCCGTTGACACCCCATGCCATCACGCCAGATCTTACGTCGGAATATCTATAGTTTATTCACTGAAACAAAGCAGTTACATCATATTTAGTAAATTTGAATGCCAACTTTAATGCAAAATAGATCCTGAATTGGTACATATAGTTTGAATTTCCAGGGAACATTTATGTTGATAACAGTTTTCTGTGTTGTGACATTGTCGCAAAGCTTGCCAGGTAATTACTCCAACGGCTCTTGTTTATTTGCGGTTTATTTTCGCTCTTTTTGCCTCAATATTATTTTTTTCAAAACTCCGAGGTGTCCTTTTAAGCATTTTGCTAAAATGCCGAAACCTCTGGGTTGGCAAGCAAACGAATTCATCATTTCTTTGACGAAATATTTTGAGACCGAACGAGATCATGGAGCTGCATTATTGCCTTTTCAGTCCGTAAGAGAGGTATTAGGTAGTAAATAGAATTTATACTAGCTCTAGCATTTACAAAACATACACTCCGTAATGTTGGTTGCGGCAAGGCATCGAAGACATAAAGTAGATTTTGTAAAACGTCCTAGGATCTATACTACAACTATTTAAAACTGTAATGACTCGTACGCGTGATCAACACGTGATCGGAGCTCGATCCCGGCTTCCTTCCAGTACAGCCTTATAGCGTACGACATATGTCGTTTCTGTGGCTTTGCGGTGGTCAACAGCACAGACAGAGATGGAAATAATGGCTGATTGTTCTCCGCCGGTAGAACCAATGAAATCAAAGACGCGCCTCGACCGGCAGACTCATAGGCGTTTTTATAAGAATTGTTGTGTGATTGTTATTGTTGTGGTTTCTGTGGTTTTGTTATACTTAACCATGGAGAGTACAAATGGCACGAGTGGAAGTACTGAAAGCCAGGGAACAAGTAGACGGCTTCGTAAAGCACTGAAGAGGGACGCGAAAGAAATCGTGCTCAACGTGTTCAATTATCTGAACAGAACTATGTCGCAGGAAGATGCACTCGCGCGTTGTGAAAATATGACAGGCGTTCCAGAGTGGACCATTCGCAGGGTGGTGCATGAAAAGAAGAAAACTGGAGCTACTATTGATCCAAAGTTTAATTTGAAGGGACGAAAGGCCGTTAAATTGGATGACGATAGCAAAATGGCGTTAAGACGAACCGTACATTCATTCTTCTTTAGGAATGAGATACCAACCCTCAAGGCTGTACATGCAGCGATCAAAAAAAATGAAATTATACCCCAAATGAGCGTCGAGGTAATGAGGAAATCCCTGCACGAAATTAATTTTCGTTACGAAACGCGTAATCGGAAGTCAGTATTGATAGAGAGACCTGAAATAGTCGCCTGGCGTCGAAAATACCTACGCGAAATGATTGAATATAGGCAACAAAGCAGAAAAATATATTATTTGGACGAGACATGGGTAAATGCAGGTCACACAGTTAAAAAAACCTGGATAGACAAAAACGTAGTGAGTAACCGACAAGCAAGCATTGAAGGTTTGTCAACAGGTCTTCGTGGACCGTCAGGGAAAGGTCAAAGATTGATCGTAACTCATATTGGTAGCGAACCTTCAAATTACCAGACGTTAAGGTTTTACTTGAGACTTCCATACAGCTAGTAACGCCCGAAGCTTGGCAGAATGCTATCCGTCATGTTGTGAAGGAAGAAACAAAAATGTGGCAGCTTGACCACCACATCGACACCATCATAGAGCCAGTTATAGTCAATTTCAACGAGGAAAGCGATAGCGACAGTTTATTACTGTCAGATGTAAGTGGAAGCGACGATGAATAAAGGTAATTCCCAAATTTTTGATTTACAATATGTTTCAAACCACTCTTTATTAAGCATGTGACAAATCTAGTTCACCCATGTTAAACATTCATACCCCGCCTATGAACAGCCGACTACTGGTAGTTAAGTGATGTTCACGTGAACATCGATGAGTCATTACAGTTTTAGATAGTTATAGTATAGTAATTTTAATTAATGTGACAACTATGTGCGTCACTGTCATTATTTGACGGTGTGACGTAACTGCTTTGATTCAGTGAATCCACTATATGTCCTGATACCAGAAAGATGCTACAGCATGCAGATTCCCTTCGCAGTGGAAAAACCCTTGGTGATGGAGTATCGAAAGGCATGATATAGAGTCGAACATCAAGAATAGGGATGCAAATAATCGCAAAGATGTATCGATACCTTATGTTGATAAATCAATGGTTCAGTTAAGAGCTTCATTATTGAACTTCACATCTTTTGCACACATTTCCGAACAACATCACTCACTAAATATAATGTATGCTGTATTGAGTGGTTTATACATCATCGCCTCATGAAGGGGCGTAAACGAAGTTTTCAAAAGTTTGAGAATGACATACCACTTTTGGCGCCATTAGGACATTTTTGATTACAATCTCTATGTTCAACATGCAAATAAAAAAACTCCTATAAAACTGCATTTTTAAATATAAGGTACTTGTGCATTAAAGTGACGACATAAAGCTGAATGTAACTAAAAAAATATTCACAATGACGATGATGCCATCGACAATATTTAAATAGGGAGTCTGGAAATATCTGCCTGCAAAATTTGGTTGTTTCAGATACGTCGCATGCAAGAGATGCTGAAGCAGATGCAAGAGAAACTCAAAGTCGATGCTCAAGATAATGGCAAAAAACATGAAAGTATTATTGATGTGTAGGTTGAATTGTTATTTTTTCATTTTTATAACCAAAGCCAGTATAGTTGAATCTTTTCTTTTATATATTTATAATTGTAATTTATTTGTTACCAATAAAACATTTATTAGCATTTTTTACGTAATATTTTTATATACATCATAGAGGTTATACATAATAATCAAATGGGAAACAGTTTGGTATGGAGGGCTTGAAATCGACACCGCATCTTCCGTTCCGTGAAGATCACTACCACTCTAATTCGTCGAGAACTCCTGCTACTAAAAAATAAAATTGAATGCGACAAGTGTGTTAGGTATAACGGATTATACGTTAAAAATCAGCTTGGGATGTTTGATTTTGAGACAAGCGGGGAATATATGTATATGTGCCAAACAAGTTTCTGCTATGACTGGACTACGAGTATGACGTGCTATCTCAAACGGAATCACAGAGCTATGTCTCTGTGCTATACACAAATCTGCAATTTTCAAGCATATTTGGTTTTTGGTACGTAGTGATCATCTCTACTCGTCAAAGTTTCCTAGGCAAAAAGGCTTTCTTAAATACTATATTGCCATGTTTTACTAATAAGACTAGGGTATATGAGTTGTAATGACAATGCTGTTGTAGATTCGCTTAGCTCAGGGGTCGGCAACCTTTGAGACGGAAGAGCCAAAAGTTACAATTTACCAAATTTCCCAGTTTTTAAAGAGCCACTAACATTTTTGTTTCAATATTATGGTATTTGATTAGGATTAGGTATAAAAATTTGATTTTTGATTTAAAATAAATAGGTAGCTTTAAATATGAAAAAATATTTATTCACATAAAACAATGATTCGCACAACACATATTAAACTGTCTTAGCTAGCTCTGCTAGAATAATAAAATTAATAATCAAATAATATAACTATAATTATTCTATAATATTTACAAGTGTAACAACAATGGGAGCATTGACTTTGCATGCCTTTTGAAAGTTTGATTATATCTATCTCATAACTTGTTGTTTTTACTCCAAATGCCAACTTCTTCACCTCACTGAGGCATTTCTGGAAGAGTATTCCTTGCATCAAATATGAGTGCCTCAACTCGCGGCATTTCTTTTAGAGCTGACCACTTGTGCATGCTTTTGTGAGCGTTTTATCCTATTTAAAACTTTAATTGAAATAAATTGAATTTAAATTTAAAACTTTTTTCGCACTATAATACTTTTTATGAGTTTTGAAAATAAAATAATATAATTATAAATATTTGCGCATGGACCTGGAGCCGCAACTTGACATCAAAAGAGCCGCAGGTTGCCGACCGCTGGCCTAGCTCCCTTGCATCGTGTCCATACAACTTATATGCAGTAATATAACGGTTGCCATTTTTTTGCTATAGTAGCTATATGGGTATTTCTCAACAAATTTAGAAATTTCATTATGCATTTCTTAAAAAAAATTCATGATGCTGAATTTCAATAAAAGACATAAGTTCTTTTATTAATAGATGTATTGAGATCTGTTTTATACTTTAGAGAGCTACTTATGTCCTCATAATAATATCAAAAAGATAAACTCAAAGTGTTAAAATTAAAAAAAAAACAGACATAAACATAATAGTAAGGTTCAGTAAGTAAACTTAAAATATCTGTGTATGCTTATTATTGGCTAATCTCACTACGTTTTGGCCTCTAAGTCTTGAATCAAATTTTGGTCAGACCCAATGTTACTTTTAGAATCGTCTAGCTCCTTGTTAACACCATTTAATCAATTTTGGCATCTATATTTTTTGTACTACGTATTTCTAGCTATATAACTGTTTATATATTTATAGCTGGCCATCCCCAAAATTTTATTCCCTGCTTCATACACCTCACCATCACACCCTCATCAAAAACAGAAGTAACTTGCCCAGAAAACCTTTTGTCTTCATAAAACCAGAACATAATCTCCAATGCTATCAAATTGATCACTGATGTAAGTTCGGAATTTCCCGATTCTGTTATGTCAATTTCTCTGGTCATCACAGTAGAAGTAGAAGGCGTAGATAGTTCGCCATTGTGATCATCTATATTGACTACATCAATTTTGAAAGCGTTTCGAGGTTGTCTGTTGCGTGTTTTGATGCTAGTATTGCTCGAGTGTTTTTGAGAATATACTAAATGATAATGAGTACAATCTTCAACACAATCTACGCATGATAATTTTCTGCCCTGTAAAGTACTGTTAAAGAATACAAACTCGCGTAAATTCTGTGTACCTCGGAATGTTGGAAGAGTTTTGGATTATTTCATAAAATCATCCATTACTGAAATATCTTGAGTAGTTACTTCAAACAATAAAATAGATTGACATCTGGTTTGAAAAACAAGTTTTAACTTTCGGCTACCGCTCTGTCAGCTGTTCCTTTCAAGTTCCGCCGACGCCATCGGGTGCTTCTGTGCCGTGCCCTGGCTCCGAATAATGCCACGAGAAGTGAGTAATTTCTGGATAATTTCTTTTAGATGATGACAGACCATTTCCAACATGTTTTTATTCGCAGTCAAATATAGGTTCCAAATGTGCCCAAACAGCCATTGTGTCATGTCTACTCTTACTAGACAATGTACAAGAAGATTGTGCATAACTTGGTGGGGGTATTTCTTCAACTACTTTCCGTAAAGCAGCACTACTTTCTATTTGTTCTCGCCTCTTTCTGTAGTACTCCTTTTTTAATTTCTTTCTTCTTCACTTAACTTCTTCATATCCCTATTCTTGATATACGGATATCTGTTAAAATTGAAAACACAATATATGATATACAACCTGGAGTTAAACAATAATACCCAAACCACGATTTTCTATATGTAAAATGCATTCCCTCATATAATTGTCATTCCCTCACTTTCTCATATAGTGAGGGAATGAGCGTAAGGGAATGAGCGTGAGGGAATGACGGATTTGCATAAACGACACGGTAACCAACAGTACAAAACTTCAATTTGATTTAGCATTTTGTGAATGGATTTGATTCCTCAAAACAAGTAAAAAATCATTAACACATTCTAACAGTATAATGACTTACCTTTTAATATAAACAGTGAGGTAATGACACAGAGAAATGTAATGTTTCAATTATTGGAATCCAATACTTTTTTGTAACAACTCTTTTCACTGTTACGAAATTCCGCCATGTTGACACTATTAGCAGTTTTAAAAACATAACAGCTGCATTCAAAAAAATCAAATGGTGTGCCCACAAATCGGATATTTATAATGGATGAGGGAATGATTTCATTCCAAGGGACATAATGACAAATAGATTTTCTTATATACATATTTATTTCTTAGCAATGAAAGCTTGACTATACAATCCATTCCTATTACCAAATATTTTAGTAATATTGAATTTATAAGATTATGAACAGATTTGATTGTAGATATTTTTTTATTATTAATTTCGGACCCAGGGACAAGATGAGGGAATGACTTTTAGACTAATAAATTATTCGAATTTTTTGCCTTTAAAATATTAGTGTAGATACTTATTGATATAATAAAAATGTTAAATTGATGATAAATCCATGCAACTTAGCACCAATGGATCAGGTCATGAATTTCGGAATTTGCTGAGAAATACCAATATAAGTTTGATTTTATCGGCCGTAAACGGCCGAGCACAGTTCGGCCGATAACGGATTATGTGTACGTGAGCCGTTATAGCTACGTGTCGGAGAGTATCGGCCATCTAATCTAAGCATTCTAGTGTCACAATTCATAACAATTTCCCTATAAAGATCTCTATTTGGACTTTCCAAATAAGAAGTATACACTAAGAACCAAATTTTTCTGGCGGTTTGAGTTCATTGTGTACGAGAGATAAGTGGTATGTTAGAAAGAGATAGAAGCGGGCTGGATAGCGAAGCTCATTGTCGATATGTTACACTAGTTCTTTGAATAATTAAGATTCATATTGAAAATATGTCGAATCTGTTTAGGACCGACTCCGGATCGGTCCTAACGGCGCTCCATTTTAGGTCGAAATGAAAGGTCAGGATCGCCACAAATTCTGGAACATTGCATCATTGGTTCATTTGATAACACCGCATTTTGTACATTTCCAGGCAAGGTTTTCGCCTCCATGATCATAGTTGAGCGATTTTGGTCAGTACTCATCTAGCGCTCGTAGAGAAGTGTCGTCCTACTTCGAAATGGCCTTCAGGATGTTTTCATTTTATCACCATCGGTGGAACTCAAAGGTAATTCTAAAAGAAATTAAAACACTGAGCTGCACCAAAATTGAAATAAATAAATAATTCTAAACAAAATATTGAATTAAATGTTCAAAAAGACCATCTTCTTGGGTTTGACAGTCTATTGTAGCAGCCTGAGCGAACATTAGGTATATTCTTTAATTCACCGGTTGAGCTACCGGTGCAACCGGTTAGTCAAGTTTGCGTCCTTTAATTTCCGCTGGAACGACCGGTTGTACATCAAACTTGTCTCTATATTGATGGTGGATATGCCACCGGTGCCAACAGCATCCACCGACGTTCGGGCTCGGTTGATCCACGATATTCTAACCTCTACATTTTGATGAGTTTTTGACAACTACAGTTTTGTGTGAAAAAATGGAAGAAGAGGAGATTGAAGTTAGCAGCATAGGAGTCGCGTGAAATTTAATGTTTTTTTCAACACAATTTGAAATAAACAGAGCATCTGAAAGTAAGTCAATTTGTTTTGAATTATGCATATCGAGAATCTCAAATCAATACCTCGTAAGTCCGAAACTGTCGATTTTCTGACTTTGTTCTGTTTTTATTCTTGTATGAATACAGGAATGCTCTCAGAAAATTCATATCGATGGTTCTTATTCGGGAAGCATCGACGATCTCAAATCAATGCCTCGTATTGATTTGAGATCGTCGATATCTGAAAAATTCTTGGTTTTCTGATTTATAGTTCTTATATTGATTCTCGGAACGCAAATTCTCTCCGCTGGATAACTTCGTCATCAGAATCATCACTCGAATCGCTTAACAAACGTTCCACGACAATACCTACTATTGCGTACATTTCCATCATGATTTTAAATGATACGGTGTTCAAATTAACAAGTATCCATTTACGATAAAACAAGGGTTAGGTTTTCCCATATGACGGCAACCTGAAGGCTAAAAATGCGTCTTTTTATTAACGACCATTCAACGGAACCGGTTGCTGACGTCATCACATCAGCTGTCAACCATGAGTTCACCGGATCCATCAGTGATGGAATCAACCGGTGAATTAAAGAATAGTTTCGTTCGCGGTTCCGATTCGGGATTGATTCTGAACCACTTCGCATGCGCACTTTAAAAATCGCCGTTCGCGGTAAGAAAATTCTGAATTTTTAGTTACAGTTCTGCGTTCGCGGATCATATCGAATTGGTACAGAACTGATTCCGAATTGGTCTTGACAGTTCTCAGATTTTTGGTGAGACTAAAAGTTCGATCCGACTGATCATGCGCATTAGCATCGTTATGGACATTTGACCTATTTAACCTATTCTGTGAAAATCTGTCACCTGTGCTTTTTAGAGCTTGCTGTTCCATACATATGTTTTGTGTGTTCCATCTTAAGTTCTTAAGATGTCGGACCATTTATCGTTTACCGATGATGATTTGGAAGAACTATTGGAAGTTATTGAAGTACCGAAAGCACCTGGAAGCTGTCGATCGAATAGCAGCTTGGCAACAGCACAAAATAGAGGGCAAATTGGCAACAGTGTTGAATACGCAAACGGTTCCAAAGTCGTTCGCGGTAAACGAAAATCTGTAACTAGAAAATAACTGGACATGCGCATTTGTGTAATTCTGGATGGTTCAGTTTTAGTTCCGAACTGGTTCATTTTTTGACCCGCGAACGCAATTAATATACCTATTTTCTAGTTTAACATATTGGCAACGCGGCAGATTGCACGACCTTCTGTCATATCTCGCGCTTCTCTCTCGTACACATTGAACTCAAGCCTTCAGACAAATTTGGCTTTCCCTGTACATGTATATATATACAATACTGCCTTGTATGACATTTATGTTTTCGAGATTTAGTCATCCAGGTTGTGAAGTAGGAAATGTACCAGTTCTTTCCGCTAATTAATTTGGCACCTTGCGCACATATTGACTGTTTCAAACAGAATGAAAGCATTCAATCATCGGTTGTTATGAGAACTGAATTTGAAACGAATTAAAATGTGATCTAAAACACCTCCACTTACGTCTTATCCTCCACCACCTACTTTTTCTATTATAATTTGTGATTAACGAATGTCCTAAAAGTTTTGGCACAAAATATTTATCGGATTTTTTTAATGAAGAGATTCATTTAGGTAATCACTAACTAGTTATCATGAATTACATCTCAATACTTAGCTAAACTATACTATCGAATTATGTGGAGTGGCTCATTCTGATGATCTACCACATGCAACTTTCTTCTAATGTCTCTCATGAGGTCCTGGACGGAATTCAGATCAATTTCTCCCAGTTTTTCGTAGCCGTCTCAATTGTTCTTCATATTGACCTTCCCAGCCTCCATGATAAACCTTCCTAGACAGTAAACCTCTATTGGGCGAGCCTGCGGCAAGTTTGGACGATTATCGTTTTTGGGAACAAAAGGTATGTATGATGTGTTGTAGAAGTCAGTTTTGAGTATCTCTTGAGTAATGGCATGATGCTAGGTCTGATCAAAACATGATATGGACACTACCATGATGTTCGTGGACAAACTGAAGCAATTTCTAAAGGCAGTTATCAATATAGCTCTGACTATTCAAAGCTTCACCCCTCACTCTTCCCACAAAAGGTGGAGATACACTCCTGTTACAAATTGCGCACCAGAAAAGGATTTTAGCTACGAATTTCGCTTTATGTTTTTATCTAACATTGTCAGGGCATTACCCTACGTTGTCCGTATAAAATCCATCGATTCCATTCACTTCAGAATTACTCTATTCTATGTTACAGTTTATGTAATTTTATGGCCCATACCAATCAAACATATGTCTACTCTTATACTCTTAAGCAGTCGGGCACACGCGAGACGTAGATTTGGATTGCTTATAATTGAAACCTACTCGCTGTATTGGTTATTAGGCGTAGGAGAGGTATGGACTGGTAGATGACTGTCGTAACCTCATCACTGTACAAGAAATAAGACAACCAAAGCTCCTCTGTTTTTCAATTAATAAATTAAAATGTCAGGAGATGTGGTTTCAAGTACAGGGGTAAAACAGAAAATACCGAAGTCTTTTAAACAAGAATGGAAAAGGAGTTTCCAGGATGGTTGCAAAGGAGTTTGAATAGGAACCGGTATGCTCATTCTACAATTTTTATATAAGTAATAATTATTAAATAAGATAAAGATATTTAGGAAAAGGTGCTCTCAGAAAACCTGTGTTGTGAGGTTGTGTTTCCGTGCATATGCTTTTTTCATAGACCGCTGCGTGTTACGTGAGCGTGACACAAAAGCCTTTGATCTACTTCTGATGTTGTCAATCTACTGAATTCCAATGATACTATCTATCGATTTAGTCTTTTTCAGTTCGGCAACACTGCCCAGGATGAACGATTTTTGATGTTTCTGCCATGACAGGATTGACAGTTATAGAACTATGGCGATTGTCAGCTAGCAAAATGTCATCGAATATTTGAAGCGAAATTATAGCATTTGCATCAACCACCACCAAAAAATAATGAATTTATTCAGTGATTCCTGATCAGCGACCCTTAAACAACTTGATAAAATGGTTACTGAAGAATTTATCAAATCTGAATATCCCCTGCATTGGTGTGTCTGGAAAAATGATTACAAGACCCTTGCTGGTCTGTTAGCGAAAAAAGAGGTATGTCTTCCTGCTTGAATCTATAGAATATAATTAATATTTGCGTATATTTAATTCTTTAATAGTCTTAATTCCTTCTGTTTCATTTTTAAACTTCTAGCATGATATTGAGAGGAAGGACAACCGTGGCCGAACCCCCCTAATGTTAGCCGTCACTTTGGGGCATTTGGAATCTGTTAGAACATTGTTAAATGCTGAAGCCAACGTGAATTGTGAAAATCTAAATGGATGGACAGGTATAATTGGATTACTGAAAACCTTGGACATGTTCAAGATTCTGCTTTTAATCTTATTTAAACTTGGGATACTTCTTATTGATTTATTGTTATAATACGATTTTTGTAAAGATGAAATCACTACAAAATGCCTATTATACTTTTCTAAGTTGTGCTTTTCTCAAAATACATAACGAAAAGAACCCCATTTCTGCAAAGACTATCAGATTAGTAGTAGTTTTAAAAGTAAGTACATAGAAAAGGTAAATGCTTATGTTAGATACTTATTGTTATTGTTATTTTATAGAAAAAGTATCATTGATAATGATTAAGAGAGTAATTGTAGAAATATCAAGGCACATTACAAACTGGTTAATAGTTTATATAAAAATAAATATCTATATCTAATAAGGTAGGAAAACTGTACTTAATATGTATAGAAGATATGTTTATAGGATTTAACTTTAGGGACATCTCTTTATCAGATTTTATTTACCACTGGTTTCAAAATATTCATAACCTACCTCTGTTGTTTGTGATCAAGTGCTGTGGAGAGCAGACATAATAAAGTCCTTCTCCTTGATGGGCCCCCAATACCTAGGTCTATAATTTTTCTTTTCTTTTCAACCAATATCAATATACTTTGAAGTTGAGTCATTAATTTTCAGATAATGATTGTAGAAGGAAGATAAACCAAAATATGTGTGTAAAAATAAAAAAAAAATGTTACCTTGTTTTATAAAGTATCCTCCCGACAAGTATTTCAGTGCGGACCTGCATTTGATCGTGCGGTCTTGGAGCACCGGCATGCCGTCCCCTGTGAGGTATTAAGTCACCTGATTCACGAGCCCTTTGTACTACATTAACAAAGGCACGAGGGGTTGGTTGCACTCGATTGGGAAACCGATCCGCATAAATCCGTGATGCCACGTAAATAAGAATCATGTCCACAAGTTCAGCATTTTCGTAAACATGTGCCATTTTGGATTTCGTTTGAGCCACGCAACAGACACCACTATTAACTCACGCGTTACCGACTGACACTGACTGTATACAACAGAATAAAATAATTGTAAAAACATCGTTCCAAATTCTTTCGCTTTTTTGTTTCCGATGCGATGAACCGATAAGGCAGATTATATCCGTTGTTGCCAAACACGAGCACATAATATTATTATTGAGACAGGGCGGTACTCAAACTTCCAAAGGGCTATAACTTTGTTACTTTAATTTTACCAGAAAAATGGTAAAGGAAAAAAACATTTCTTTTCATCAGATCTACTCACTGTTAAAATAAATGACTCAACTTCGAAGTCACCCTGTATAAATCAGGAGATCAGACACATATTAACAATTATCAACCTATATCAGTCAGATCTAATATAGCAATAATATGTGAAAAAATAATATCTACTTGAATGCTTCAGTTTCTCACTAAATATCAAAGTTTATGTGAAAACCAATTCAGATTTACCTAAGAGAAGTCTACATCAGATGCAGTATTAAATGTTGTTATTCAAATTCACCAAACTCTTGATAAAAAAATTCCTTGTCTTTGTATTTTTGTGAATCTAAGAAATGCTTTCGATACTACTGTATCTACTACTGTTTACTAACCATAAATTATTGTTAGACACATTGGAGAGAGTTGGCTTTTGGGGAAAAATGCACTCACTACTAGAAAATTACATATCCAACAGACAGCAATCTGTTAAAGTATCAACATTTTTCAGTAACAAAATGTTTATCAAATGTGGTGTCCCACAGGGAACCATTTTAGGTTGACTGCTTTCTAATATAAACCTAAATGATGTATTTTAAATTCACTGTATGGGCAAAATAGTAAGTTTTGCAGGTAACACAGCAGTTCTTTATAAAAGTGATGATTGGTCTCATTTAAAAAGCATAGTTGAAAATGATTCACATTAACATCAAGCTGCAGAATCATCATAGTAACCTCGAAGTATGATATATTCCTTACAGTGGTACAAGAAGCAGTTACAAAAAAAAAGAATCAACATAGTAACCTCAAAATATGGTATATTCCTTTACTTACAGTGGTACAAGAAGCAGTTGCAACAGGGGATCCTGAACTATTACACATGGTGCTGGAAAGACGTGATTATCAAAGATATACTAGCAGAATGGCAGGCATACCTGGACTTTTGCAGAGACTTAAAGAAGCTCCAGATTTTTATGTGGAAATGAAGTGGGAGTTCACTAGTTGGGGTAAACTTCATGCTAAATACTAAATCTAATTTGAATCTTGAATTTCATCTAATTATATCTATTTCTGGTGTATAAATTACTTCATAGTTTTTGCTGGATGTCATATGAAATAAGTAAAGAGCTTCATTAACTGTAGCACATGCATTGCTTAACTGCTACTCACTCTTGCACATACAAACATAGATGAATTGGGTGATGGAAGACCATTATCTTCATTTACTTTGTGAAAATACTCTAATCTCTAATAAATTTCCCACTAAACTGTCGAAATTGTACCTGTATGTTCTTGCATTACTATTTATACAGGAAATAAAAAAAAAAGGTAAACTCAAGGTGGTGAGACAAAACTAACAAACAATGTCAGTGAGATTACACAAATAAATCTGAAAATAGAGACTGATTCATATGTATTTACTGTGAGCTGCTAAATACCATGCAAATACTTACATTTCATTTATTTTTTTGTAGTCCCTCTGGTATCAAGAATGTGTCCAAGTGACACATATAAGGTGTATAAGCAGGGATCCAATGTACGGATAGACACTACTTTGTTAGGATTCGACCACACTAGTTGGCAGAGAGGGAATCGAAGCTATGTTTTCCAAGGACATAGTAAGTCATTTTAAGCTTGTATATGAGATGGGCTAATACAATACTTTTTTAATATTGGAGTCTAGTGTCTACACTTTTGTTACACAAATAATTTCTTCTACCTCTTAATGCTCTGATATTCTGCACATAGAAGACTTGTTGGGAGGCACATATATGCCCCTTTAAAGTATAAGAAGAATAGTATTGACTACGAATAATCCACTTTGAAAGAAAGTAGTTTGCTAAAATAGTGGATCCGTTAATTTGTAAATTCAGGTTTTTTACCATGTTGCCATCTTTTGAAACCATACAATCATTGTGAATTGTCATGATTTATGAAGGGCGTCTCAATAAGATCGCCGGATTTGAGTTTCAAGAAAAACACAATTTCTTTTCGAATTAAGCGAGTATTTATATTTCAATATGAAGAGGAATAGTTGTGATTAAACATGAAATATGACACCTGGCTACCGCGAAACCTCTGGCACAGTGTAAAGTCTTTACTTAAAATTCTGGATAAGGTTTTCGCACAACTGTGGGTCTATTTCGTCGATAACGCGCCGTATCTCTTCTTTAAGGCGTTCAACTGTTTGTGGCTTGTTCGCATACACCTCTTCCTTCACCCAGAGGAAGAAGTCCATTGGCGTTAGATCGCACGATATTGGTGTCCAATTTTGATCGCCAAAGAGATGACATGGTCTGGAAACTTGGTCCGCAGTAACACCATTGTTTCGGGCGCTGGATGGCAGATCGCACCGCCTTGTTGGAAGAACATATCCACATCAATTCGATTCAAATGGGGCCAAAAAAACTTGGTTAAAATTTCGCGGTACCGCACACCATTAACAGTTACCGTAGTTCCAGCTGCATTTTTGAAGAAATACGGTCCAATCACTCCGCCACTCCACAATGCGCACCAAACGGTAACTCGCGGTGGATGCATTGGTTGGTTGTTCGATTGTTACACGAGGGTTTTCAGAACCTCAAATTCGGCAGTTCTGCTTATTGACGTACCCATTCAATTGAAAATGTGCCTCATCAGAGAAAATGATTTTCTTCGAGAAATCCGCAACAATTTGGTGGTGCTCCAGCGCCCAATCAACGAATTCACGGCGCTGCGCATGATGGTCCGTTGGCTTGAGTTCTTACGTCAGTTGAACCTTGTACGTATGCAAGCACAGATCTTTTCTCAAAATTCGTTGTCTGGTAAGGTTCAATTGCTGGCCACGATGCCGAATGGAAGTGCCTGGATTCTCGGCCACACTTTCCCGTACTGCGACTATATTTTCGACGGACCCACCAGGACGGCGAAGAACAGTGGTCTTCCCATTCAGCATCGTGAATTTTGTCTCAAATTCATTTGGCGCATTATTGCGGCTCAAAATTGTACGTAATTTGCAAACTGTTTCCGCGTAATCTTCTCCATTTTTGTAGTGAGTTTTCACAATAATTAAACGTTGCTCGTTTGAATACTGCTCCATGACGTCTAATCGCATGGCCTGGACATGACAGCAGTCATCAAGTAAACACCACACCATTTGTACAAAAAAATGGCGGCAAATTCAAATCTGGCGCTCTTGTTGTGCCATCCTTTGCTATGCATACTTTTGATACAACTATCGTCTTATTAAAGCTATCCAAATATGTGCACCTATAAGAGGAGAAAGGAGCTATGTTTACTCTCTGAAAACATTTGTGAAACCTGGTAAAACAGCTATTTTTAATTCAACACTAGCATTGCTATTTTCGCCTTCTGGGTAGAATTTAATACAACTGCCCCTGTAATACAGCTATACGGAAACTGGGGTGGTTTGGTGCAATGCACAGTATCTGACAGAATATTTATGCGCAAAAAATCGCCTTATGTTGACTGCTGCTTCATCTATCAACAGCTAGAAAATACTTTTCACCATCTAACTTTCATTTCGTTTCATTATAGTATTTATATACTAAACGCTAGGGGCGCCAGTTTGCATAGTCTTTGTTAGAAAACTAGCTAGTTTAAGTTGCACAGATGTTAAATGCAGCGTCTATATCTGCGACATTCAACGAAAAATAAATTTGCAGATGATGGTGCTACTATGATGGAGATTGACCATGATCTCCAACAAGTTTACTGTGAGCAAATGAGAACCACAGATGATGCTTTGGGTATATTAATACCGAACGAGGAATCTGTTTCGCAAAGACTGACCACTCCCATCGTTACGACTTACATTGATACAGAAAAAATTAGCTTTGAAAGGTAACTTGAAGGCAACTAGTTTATGGAATTACTTCAGGAAAATAATATGGGTCGGTATTTTTCTCGATAGCGACACGTTTTGAAAGCAATGGCATAATTACATAGGGTGGAATTTGGTTGGACTTTGAAAGGATGTTATGATCTCATTGGATTGATGTCATTTGGTTGATTGGTTAGGTTTAGCTAAGTATGGCTTTCTTTAATTGAATATAACTGCTATCGAAACTTACATGGAATTAGAAACCTTTTGTTTACATATCATACATTTTACTCGGTCAAGGAATAACTAGAATGTGAAGACATAACTTTTAAGATTTCAATGTTTTTTCTTTGTCAGCTTTTTTCAATTGATTAATTTTTCATATATGTTTGTTGTCATGTCTTATTAACTGTATTTTGTTATATGTTCCTATACTATTTACAGTAGCCCTAGGAATAGTATATATACTGATTGAGTTAATTTGTTATAGAAACAAAGCTGGAATGTGGGGCTGGAGGTCAGACAAAACAGAAGCTGTGAATGGATATGACTGCAAAGTTTTCAGTGCTACCAATGTTGAGCTTGTAACAAAAACAAGAACTGAGCATCTGACGGATACAGATAAAGCGCGCAGTAAAAATAACAAACATCCGTTACACAATTTTTTGGGCATAGCTGAAGTTGGAGAGAACCCAGTGCCAGCCATAACTCCAAATGTATGTATAATTATTTGTATTTTCTCGGTTTGGTTTTTTGAATATAGTTGGTTTTCTGTTCTGTACTACAACAGACGCAAGAACAAATATTTTATCAAAAGAAGAAAAAAGATCAATCATATAATGAATTCCTAGGACGCCACCTCCAAAGAGGCGCCTTTAACATTGGTTTTTACGCATTGTATTTGATTGTTGAAAACAAAATTATAACTCTGTTATTGTTTTTAGGAAGAATATTCCAATTCGAGTAACCCATGCAATATAACTCCTGAGGAGTATTTTGATAAAAACATCGACTTGGATGCACAGGGTAGAGACATTGGTCGACCAAAAGAAGTGAACGTCAAAGTTCAAAAATTCAAAGCAAACCTATGGCTGTGTGAAAACTACCCACTCTCCCTTCCAGAACAGATATTGCCAATCGTTGATTTGATGGCTATATCCAGCTCCCACTTTGCCAAATTGAAAGACTTCATACAGATGCAGCTTCCTTCTGGTTTTCCTGTTAAAATAGGTGAGTGAATTACAAAAATTGCTGAAATACATATTTGTTTTTCGATTTTTGTGCTTTATATAAGGCCGCACTCATGGCGAAAAAGTGAGTTCGTCATTTAACGTCTTAGATTTTAAATGTTAGAAAAGACGTGAAGAGTGAGATAGGCAACCATAGAATAAATCCCCGAAATTACTTTTTAAAGTAAGTTATACTTTGTAATTAGTGCCCCGCATCGATGGTCTTAGATGTTCTTAATACACGTTCTTGAAAATGTGGGACTAGAACAACTAATTACAAAGTGGTAGAATTAGTCTTTGAGGAACTATGTGCTTCAACATTGGTAGAAGATTTTTATCCCAGTTCATTTTCAGAAGGACATACGCCATAGTCATATCTCTAAAAACGAAATTTACATTATTTGATAAATATCAAAATCGACGTCAAAAGCTGTCAGAACTGGTAATAGAATACTTTTTACTTTAACCTACTTCCTAGTTTTTAAGAATTAGCATCCAGGAGGAGGTTAGTTCTAGAAAACTATAGAGTAGAATAATTGAAGGGTACAGGCAAAGAATAGGGAATGTCACAGTTTTTTTTTTTTTTTTTTTAGTTTCCCATTGGAAGCAAATCCTTGTATATATTTTAATTTCCAATCGTTAGCCTTTAAAATAAGTAAACAGATAGCGCCAAAATGACATTTTGGTTTAAGGCCGAAACAAAAAGAACTGGGAATGTCCATGTCATACCGGCAAAGGAGAAGGATTGCCCAAAACGAGATTGCAATAAAAATTTGAAGTTGAATATGTTTTCTGATTCAGATAATGATGAAAATAATCAGAGTATTATTAATAAATCAACAATGAAAAGAAAGAAATCTTGTAGAACCGAAGATATACCTAATGAAAAAAATGCGACTTTCTTCTCATGAACAAGCTAATTGTTCAACATTCGAAAGTTTTGAAAATATAAATGGAAATAACCAAAGAAATATTATTAGATATTTCAATTCATTGGGTAGTGTCAGTGAACAGAACTTATATTTGTCAGGACTTATAACTGTTTATAATGTGAAACAAAGAACAAGCAGGAAGTTTGGAGATGAGACTAACTTTCATGCAGCTGCATGCAGCTATAAAGTGCGGATAAAAGATGAATATATCAACAATAATGTTAAAAAGATGTGTCTGTATGTTTAGAATCCATTGCATTTCATGGAATTTTGAAAGAAAAGGTTAAATATCTACAAAAAAGCATAAAAACAACGGAGAAAGCTCTAGTAGATCAAAGAGAAAAGCATGAAAATCGTGAAAATGCATCAGAGATAAAGGAAAAAGATTTTAAACATATTATTATTTGAAGGAAGATCGAGTCATTACAGTTTAAACGGCAGTAGGAAACTAAAATATGATTCAAAAACCAAAGATTCTGAAAACTGAATTGGACATTCCTTGTTTTTTGCATGTTTCAAAATGTTTCATTTAGTTTTTGTTCAATTTAAATATGTTTAATAACTAAAAGGTCCAATGTCAACAACACAATTATATTAGATATAAAACATTTAATTAGTTCTAAGTAAAAATTACTGCATAATTTGATCTCAATAAAAATAATATACTTTCAATTGCATTTTTCTCAAAATCAGTTCATTAGGACATTGCCTGTTATTTGCCTGTACCCTTCAATTAAGTGAAAGTCGGCGTAATTCTATCAACTTTTGTAGCTTCGTTTGACAGCTGTTGACGTTTATCAAATAATTTTGTGAATGTCAAAGTCATGTTCCTAGGTCTTTCATAGCATTGGGCAAATGTCACACCATCACTATTTACTTTAATCTGTCGGTATTTATTATGGAATGTGATATTTATTGACTGTATAACTAGAACAGCAATTACTGATGTATAAGGTGATGAGAAATCCAGTGACACTGACGGAATGATCGGTAAATACTGCTGATACGGACGACAGTAAATATGAGCGACTTCTGCACTTTTATTCATTGTTTGTTAGGAAAATGACCCGGGGAGCGATTTTTCCATCAAGGAAATTGTAAAGAAAACAGTTCCTTGAAATTTAATAGAATCACACTCAATGTCTACGCTCTCATTTCAAGGATTGGTCTCCAGTGGTTGTGATGGGTTAGAAATAAATCCCAAACATAGAGACACATGTTGAAGATAGCTGCCACATTTTTGAACTTATCCCTAGTGCCGTATAAGGGTATCGTGGTTCTGTTTTATTATTTTCTTGTATTTCTGTAATTGAAAACGAATCAATCACTGTTGCCACGGAACTTTCTTTGAGGCCCTTCCTTATTATTTGACTCAAATGTTACTGCCTAAAGTTGAAAATTAACCCCTTTTAACAATAAAATATGTTTTTAATGTTATGAAGGACATCAGGAGGCTAGAAATCGATTTTTACTTTTTTGGGGTATCCTTAATGTACCTATTCCAGTTCATATTAATTCTGGTGAAAGTCTCAATTCTGTGATAGGAGATGATGGCCAGTCGCAGGGGTGTGTTGTTTGCTGATAGTAAAAAGTTTACCTGACATTTTAGAATTCCTACCGGTTACGAGGATATGTTGAATAATCGTTGTACAATTTGGCGTCCATTTTTAAATATAACGGCCAAGTGAGTACGATTTGGATCGCGTGACCTAATTTTTTTATATATAATAATTATCAATATAATATAGCTACTTAATAACGCATTAATAATACGTCAGGCGGAGCTGTGACAGCTAATTGTGACGCCAAATGCCAGTAGTTTATCTTCATTATTAATCAAATCCAAGCGAATAACCAAAATTTCTGTGTTATGTGCCGCGGTTATAATATGGTTCAAGATGACACATGGGTTGATGACGTCAGTTTCACGAATCGCTTGAACGCGTTGGTTTTAACCGCGGTTTTGTTGCAAGTTGTTTATTTTAGAAAAGCGCGTATATAATCTCTGATTATTTTTATTATCCCTTAATAATCGGTGCTTTTTCGTCTACAACTGTATATGGAAAGTTTAAATAAGAAACCTTTCATAATATTAATGGGAGAAATGTTTTTTCAGATTTTTTTTTAATGATGGAACCATGGCTTTGTAGCTATGATAACTTTCAATTCTCTAAATTTTTCCGCATGTCAAAGAAAACATTTATTGATTCAGCAGAAATGATGAAAAAAGAAATTAGCAAAACCGTATACAGGTGGATATCATCTAGTGAGTTTATATGACCATATTTTAATATTCTTGTGGTATATGGCTACACAGGATACTTTGTTAAGCATTGGAACTACATTTAAAGTGTCCCCAACAACCGTAATGAGTATAACTAATAAGGTGCTCCACTTTATGGTAAAACTGAAGTCAGCCTTTATCATTTTTCTCAAAAATGAAGCTGAAGTACAATAACAATATCCAATACCCGGCAAAATTCTAACTTGCCACATTTCAAATAATAACCAGAAATATAAAACTACTCTTGAGTTGGGTAAATACCACAATTTTGCGGTGATAACTATGACATGTAACAGCTGATTCGTGACGTCACGGATCTTATAACTATACTGATAACTACACTCGCTTGAACGGATTGGTAAATACCAACCCAAAATGGTAAATACCATTTCCATTTGGTTATCCGCTTGAATTTGATTATTATCTGTTTCCATGTGATTGCAGAAATCCCACTGTTCCACGTACTAAACGCGCGCATAACATTCGGCAACATTTTCGCAATGGATGCGGAGGTGCCGCATGTAACCAAAATCCAAGAAGATGATCGCTTGACGTGCGTCTTGGACGAGAGCCTCTTCAGGTGCCCAGCCAGTTACACTCAGATTGGTAATGGTAATGCATCCACATTTTTTAGTTGCCTTTTTATCACTTTTCTGTTTTTTCGAACCTCGATGTTCAAGGGTTGGCCAAAATGCATGTCTACAATTTTGAGAGAGATTATCAATTAAAATACTTTAAGGGCTTATTTCATCATGACTATATTTTGATGAAAGTTTCAACAGATATCAATGAATTTTAGATTAGTAACTGAATAAATAATTTTTGACAGTACGAACAATATTTGGCATTTCTGAATGATCTTTATAATTTTTAATCTGGCAGTAGTTGTAATTGTGTTGTACACTAATGTACTGCTTTTTATTTTATGCAGATGATCCTGTCTGTAGTCGTTTTTTCAATACACGTGTTAGCTATTTAAAATATAAAGATATCCATTGCTGTTCAACCCTTAGAGTGTTTTTATTTTTTCTTCGCCATTTTCTTTATTCTTTAGCTTTCCATGTTCATGCAATTTATAAATAATGAATATTTCATCAATGGACTATACAGGGTGATTCACAACTCTTGACCAAAAATGAAACATCATACACAGGACCGCGTTTTGAGGGGGTCTTCTATGTAACATTTTTTCTCAAGGGCTTCATTAAAAAGATGCGGGGTGTTGAAATTTGAAAATAAAAAAACAATTTTACTTAATATCTTCAAAACCGTCAATTGGAATGAACTAAAATTTGGTATGTGGATTTACCTAAGTAACGTCCACATTCAAAAGTCCAAAACTAAAGTGCACCAGTGGCGGAGATACATGGGATTAGTGGCATTTTTCCAAATAAAAATAGCACGCTACTTTTTTTTTCGAAACACGCAATTTTTCGAATTTCACCTTCAATTTGCTACAGATAATTACTCTTGTGTTTTTTGCCTAGAGTGCACTGTTTTCGTAAAAATAAAAATAAAACAAATTAGATCATTCATGAAGAGCCGAGATACAATTAGTTTCAGAATAAAATAGGAGGCCTTGATACCAACTTGACGTTTCTTGGGAGATAATTTGTCAAAGTTGTACGGTTGTTATCGTTACTATTTTTTTTTGTAAAAGTCAAGTTTTTTTTTTCCATTTTTGAGTGTTGTGAAATGGAATTTAGCAATGATGAGTACGCTGATATTATTTTTGTGTACGGGTTCTGTAATGGAAACGCTTTAACGGCTTCTCGGGAGGATTAACGTGATTTCCTAACAGACGCCAACCTACCCCAAAGGTTTTTACGCGTTCATTTCTAAGACATCGGCAATATGGAATTGCCAAACTTCCCGGAGTTAGAGGCCATGGTGCCCGGCATACTGTTCAAGAGGAGCTGGAAGTGATTAATTTGGCGTTGGATGATCCTAGTACAAGTACTAGGCGGATTGCAGCCCAGTCACCATGTTCCCTAAGTCCTGCGTGGAGCATTTTAAATCGGAAAGTTTTACATCCTTACCATCGGCGAAACGTGCAATGTCTGCAAGCCTGCAACGAAGTGCAACGTCGAATTTTTTGTGAGTGGCTACTGCAAATGCATAATCAAAATGTAGATTTTATTGATTTAGTTTTGTGATCAGATGAATCGCTTTTCATGTGGAGTGGAACCTTTAATTCTCATAATGAACATATTTGGCCGTTAGAAAATCCCCGTTCTGTAAGAATCCACTCGTTTCAATACAGATTTTCTAGAAATGTCTGGTGCGGCATTTGCAATGGCCAACTGTTTATGCACGTATTGCCACAACGTTTAAATGCAAACCCATACTTAAATTTTCTGGAGGATTACATAAAAAAATATGTTAGATGATGTTCCGTTAGCAACGAGAGTACGAATGTGGTATCAGCACGACGCGACGGTGCCTTCACCGCATGTTTGTAGTAATAACTGCATAGTTATATAATTATTTTAGACCACGATAGATTGACAGAAACGGACCAGTACATTGGCCTGCGAGGTCTCCTAATTTGAACCACCTGGATTTCTTTTTGTGGGGCGCTTTTAAACAACTAGTGTATGCTGAACAAATTAATACTGTTGATCAGTTACAAGAAAGAATAGATAATACGTTTAATCAAATTCAAGCCAAGATTTTGCGGAAACACGTTTTTCTTTATTAAAAAGATGCCGCACTTTTATGCGCCAGAATGGTGGTCTCTTTGAACATTTATTGAAATAAAGCTTTATCTAATTTGTTTTTTTTTATTTTTACGAAAGTAATGCACTCTAGGAAAAAACACACGAGTAATTATTTGTAGGAAATTGAAGGTAAAATTCGAAAAATTGTGCGTTTCGAAAAAAAAAAAAACAGTGGCGTACTATTTTTATTTGGAAAGATAATACCACTAATCCCCTGTATCTCCGCCGCTGGTGCACGTTAATTTTAAGTAAAGACTTTTGAATGTGGACGATACTTAGGTAAATCCACATACCAAATTTTAGTTCATTCCAGTTGACGGTTTTGAAGATATTAAAACAAATTGTTTTTTATTTTTAAACTTCAACACCCTGTATATTTTTAATGAAGCCTTCGAGGAAAAATGTTACATAGAAGACCCCCCCTTAGAATGCGGTCTTGTGTATGATGTTTCATTTTTGGTCACGACTTGTGAATCACCGTGTATAGTTTCAATCTATTCCACGATCTAAATAAGACAACCAAGTGTGTATTCCTAAAAAACACACACACACACACACACACACACACACAATATACAGTGCTATTTTTGAATGGGCCAAGTTTAAATAAACGGTTATGAGGTTGATGCATGGATATGGATACTATATATAAGTGGTAGTTGAACATTTCAATATGGAGTGCCATTTTTGAACATTTTTTTAAGTGGAATGGGGTTGGTGCGATATCTCATTTTGTCTTAGTACTTTATAACCCTAGAATCTAAAATCACCATCTTTAAAAATGGCGGAAAGGCAGGTTGTCAAAGTTGATCAATGCACATTGAATTGCTTATAACTCAACAACTCAAAATATACAGCGTCTAAAAGTATGGATAGAACAAAGTATCTCGAAAAATACGTGTCTTAGAGAAAAATGATATAGTACAATGTTGTAAGATTTCAAAAGATTTGTCCATTGACCTCAACTATGACTTTCAAGGACATTGGAAGGTCAAAACAGTTTACTTAAATGAAACCCCTTTCTTTGATACCGGAAATGTCGAGAGGAGAGTTTTACGTTAAAGTGAACTTGACGACCATGATCTTCACAAATACGTTTCATAAAGAAAAATGTTGTGTAATGAAATTGTAAGGTTTGAAAATATTCATCTAACGGTTACCTTGACCTTCAAGCTCAATTCATTACAGTTTCCTTAAATGGAAACCCTTATCTTTGAAACCGGAAATAAAAAAAATAATATGTCCATGACCTTAACTATGACTGTCATTTGAAGATCAAATGAATTTCTAACGGGAAACATCTATGTTTAATGTCTGAAATACAAATGGCGGACAATTTTAAGTACATATATCCTTGACCATTCAAGATCATTTTGAGATCAGATATATTTTCAAGTAAACTTTCACTTTTTGAAGACGAAACAAAAAAGCGAATCATTGGAATTAATTTATGAGTGTTTTAAAATTGATTTTTATTGCCAAGGTAACTATTGCATTACTTTGAATATTGCGTAACGTTCTCCGAAATCGATCTCCTTCACACTAATGTGAAACACATGATCTGTACTTTACACTACTTCCACGCAAGCGAAGCCGCGGATTTTCCCGAGGGTGTAATAAGATATGGGATATTCAGATTAAAAAATTGACAGGTTTTGACGTTTTTTTTTCAAACGAATGTTCCATATTTTATTACATGTATAAATGGACACTTCCAAGAAAGCGACTCAATGTACAAAGACACCAGCCTAGAAGCATGCCGGTTCACCATTTTTAAGAATGGAGATTTTATGTTCTAGGATTATCAAGTACTCATAAAGAGCTTTAAAATGAGGTATCCCACGACTGCATGCCTCAGTTTGATTACCCTAAATTTTAGCTTGCTAACTTGACCTGTTTAAAACATGATTAGGGTGTTGAACTTTTTGAAAAGCACTGTATATTTATTCTTTGTGAAACTTAGTCCATTAATTATCTGATCAAATAGTAGCTATCAGAAACTAACCGAAATAGGACAGTGTGATCAATTGTATTGGAGTTACAATTGACAAAAATTTTAGTCAAATGTATAATGACGAGGAAATTATCTCAATTATTACGAGTATATAGTTAGCGAAGTCGTACAGTGTCCCGTGACAGACATGACTACAAATTTGAGTAAAACTGCGAGCAAGCATGGTCAAGAGTTGTAATATAAACAAAATTGATAGAATTACCTGAACAGTATCCAGCTGTCTCCTATCCCAAATTGTTTCCTCTTGGCTCTCTTCCTTTTTTCTTTTCTCCTCTAAATTGTGTAGATACGATGTTTTTAAACCTGACAGGCAGTATGATATTTTAGCTAAAAATAATCCCACAGAATACTGTACAATGATGACTTTCTCAATTTAATAGTGCATTTAGGAAAGCAAATTGATACTAATATTAAGTGCAAAAGTACCGCCGCTCTCTGAATGCGCCCAATACTGAATCGCATCGGTTTCTTTATTTTCAAGGTTGGAATGGCACGATTTGTGAGTTTAGATGGCAGATATTTCTTCGTCATTTTCACATTACCCGTAGATTATTGTAGATATATTGTTGTAGATTTCGGACTAAAAAATGCATTTTCTTCTCGATTTGATAGGTGAAAGTTACGATACTGAGGATTTTTTCAAATTTCCATGAGCATGATGCTTTAACTACAATCGATTTGCTTATATTTATATAATAAGGAAAGTAGAATTACTATACGAAATAGCGGGTGTTGCTCGATTTCTGAAATCCCTGACAATGACAGTAAATAATGAACTAAGAGTGAGGCCTCACTCAGCCTCGTGATTTTGCCCTACTTTCAGCGGGTGCAGATGGGAGGAGGCAGTTCAGTATGGAAGAAGAGGATGACCTGCTGCAGTTTGCGATACAGCAAAGCCTCATTGAATCGGGAACTGAGAAGGAAGAGGTAAGATTATTCCTGTTCAATAATTAAACTGGCTCAATGTCGTGTCGACAAACCCTCCTAATTTCTTGATAACAGTCGATAGACTTCATATTTCCTGTTCAATTCTGCTAATTCAACTAGCTCAAAATTGGTGTCAACAAACCCTCCTAACTGCTTGATAGCAGTCGCTAGACTTCATAATTCACGTTTTTCCATCAAGCCCGTTTGAGTGTAAATAATACAGTAGTTAGCATTTAGCAGCCTTCATCTTCTTTTACTCACAATCAGTATCCCAGTAATGCACAATTTAACTCCCCACGCCATTTGGCGAGGAGGTATGATAATCGCGATAAATTTCAAAATTGACATTGTTTTTTTGACTGTTACATGACATGTACATTTCGAAAAAACATGTCGTTCACTTCCGTCTGTCGTCTGCTGGACAATCTTTGGCCTCATTATATCTCAGATAATACTGCTCGAATGTTCACACAACACCAGACTACCGCAATATGAATGATGAAAAAGCTTTTAAAGTTTTGGAAATTAATCTGGGGTGGAAGAGCTATGAGTGAAAATCAAAGGATTTTAAAGCGTTTCCGAAATTTATTTTTCATGTTTCTGTTAATTTTTTGGCGCGTTCAGGTTGATTTCATAAATTTTGCATTTCGTTTTCCGATGTTAAAAAACTTTCTGGCCAATATCAAAACATCAAAAGTAATTTTTTGTGGATTTCGTCAGGTATTTGTCATATTTTACTCATCTCTAATAATGCTTGTAACGTTCGTGTAACTAGAATGTTAAATAGATTTATATCAATGATTCTTTTTCCAATCCGTTTTTACGTGAATATTCTTTCTTGTCTTTGGGAGTAATATTTTTCTTCAAGGACTGCATTTCTAGGAACTAAGAATTCCCGATCTCGTATTTGACAAACTTCATAAAGATATTCGTTCATTCAATAGGTCGATATTTGGGAAGCTTTGAAAGCTCAAAAACCTTCCAGGCCAGAGACACCGAATTTATTGGGTGAAGAGGAACGACAGTTGCAAAGGTAAGTTTATATCCATCGGTTCTGAATATAATCTACAATTACTTTTTTGTTTCTAAGAAAGCGGATATCTGTCACACCAGACCCACCGCATATGAAACCAAGAACATACCCCAGAAAAAAATCGTTGTAAATCCAAAATGCTTTCATGCATAATAGAGGCCAGATATATTCTTTTTATACTGACATGCTTAGGGAATAGGATTTCAGTTGTATATTTTGTTGTTGTTCTCTTGTTTATTGTCAGTTTTTATATGTAATACCATTAGTGAAGTGTTATATGACAAATATTCAATCACGCAGACAGGAGATTAATCCTTTGGGCCACATAAAAAATATACCGAATATTATTCTATCTACCGAACATAACAATTTTTGTATGTAGATGGTTGAATATTTTTGTGCCAAACTCTTGAAATTGTGATGTTTTGGAGTCGTATCGTAAGTACATTCTAGGCCAGGAGCGATACATACAGACCATTCAATGATCTTTGACTGATTTCCTTAAATAATTCCTTTTTGTTATGTTTTTTATACATTTATATCTGGTAACTCCAAACATATATCATATTTCTCTATTGCTAATTTTATCTAGTATTAAACTATACTGAAATGGTTTCAGAATAGCAAACGTTTATTACGTTTGTCAGGTTATATTGGTGTAGAAGTCTAGTTACAGATGATACCGTTAGGGTTTGAATACAGGTTAATCAAGGATTTTCTTTTTTTGCATTGAACAAATATGAGTACATTTAAAAAATCCAATCTAGTAGGTAGCAACTGTTACTGTCACACACCATGGAGCCTCTACTCCAGGAGAAACTGCTTGTGCTCTAGAAACAACCCCGAAACTGGACGACTGGGGGATTGACCTCCACAAACTTAGGGGATTTTTACTTGGGGAAATTTTTGGCGATAGAATGTTCTGGGGGATGTCACACGTTTCGGGGATAGAAAGGATCCCCCCGCTTTTTGAACGAAACCCACTACTTTCCAGTAATTAACTCTGATTTGGGGAATATTTTTTGAATAAGTAGAAATTCTGAGGGTTTTTTGTGCTTGTTCCGGGAAAATTCTGTCCGACCCATCTGGCAACGCTGTGTTTCGTCAGATACGACATGAACACTATCCAAATGCATCAATCTGCAGGTACAAATACCTGCATAAAAATTAAGAAAAACAGATTTTTTGACAAAACCTAATTTTTATGAATGATAAATAATAGTAGAACAGATACAATGGGCCCTCAGTCAGGCGCCAAGGTTTGGGGTCATTTTTTTCTCATTTCACCGGTTCTCCTGGTATGTAGGCTCCATGGTCACACGTTCGTATTATGTATCAGCAGTTGCATCTGACCAACTACAGTGGCAGATAATCTGAAGCTGACGTCTAAAACGTGTAGTAGTTTGCCGGTAATTCAGCTACTGGTGCTTAGTATGATTTTCAGTGTGTCAGCAACTGCTAGTTGCAATTTTTTGCGGGTGTACAAAAATATGCCACAAAACCAGCTAAACCATTTTGGTGTAGTTGTACCATTGCTAAACTTACCTGCAGCTTGCAAGCCGCTAGTGCAAAATTTTCTTTGTGTAGAGCGATCCAAGCGAGCTTAGAGCTTTATCAGAAGAACGCTTGCGACCCAGAAGCGTTAGACAACGCCAGTCCCGAAAGTGACTCAGATCTGCATATGGCGTTGCTGCTGTCTCAAAAAGAACAGGAGAGGGAGAGACAGCGAGAAGAAGAGGAACGATTGAAGGAGGAGAAAATGTTGGAGGAGATACTACAGCTTTCTCTTAAAGAGAAGTGAAGTCCGATTCTAGGAAATTAAGTGATATATTAATTTATGTTGAATGTCGACGGTACCAGCTTTTTTAGCAGATGCCTTTCGGGATAGTTTCTTTTGTATATCTAATCTGAGACGTAAGCATAATCAAAATAAAATGAATGACTTGAAGTTGTTTTTTTTATTTCAAAAGCTATCTGATAATTTCTTGTGGTTGGCGCAAAATGCACCAGTACTGCAATTTTGATCCTTATTTAACTTTTAGGTCGAAGGCGATCTTCTTAAAAGCAAGCTACTCTATCATGCTGTTAGGTAAGTGTGTTTATGGACTTTGAGAAAGTTGTGGTGTTATTTAGTTTTACTCAGTGACATTAGAAGTGTTACACGTAGAAAAAATAATTTCTTCAACTTAATTTTTTGACAATTTTAAATCAACATTATCACGAAATTTTGTTGACAAATAATAAGAATTTTTTTTAATAATGTGTTGGGCGACCCCGCAGCTGAATACACCACTGATTACGTCTAGGCATCAACAAAATGAGATGATCGATGTCGGGTTGTGACACCTCATTCCCAGCAACTCGAACTTCGTGGATTAGCTGTGGCAGAGTCTGTGGCGGATAGTGCAGAGTGGATAGTCTCCTCCCGATCATATCCCACACATGTCGATAGGACTTAAACGTTAAACGCCTGCTTCTTGAAGAAAGTTCGTAGAACCACGAGAAATATGGGAACGTGCGTTGTCTTGCTGAAAAAGGATGTGTGGACGGCCTTGTAGATACGGCAGTAGAGTGGTTTGTAGGACATCATCAACATAACGCGCAGCAGTCATATTGCCTTGAACAAAAAGAAGGGGCTACCATAGGTAATAGCCCCCCACACCATTACTCCAACAGTCCTGTGTACACGCCTCTCAACAGCAAATTCAATATCACGCCGTTCTCCACGACGGCATCTTACCCTTCAACGAGCATCATGCGTACCTGACAGAATCGCGATTCGTCGCTGATGATGACATTATGCCATTCTGCCTCGCAATGTTGCCGTTCTCTGCTTCAGTTCAAACGTTGACTACAGTAGTCCGCAGTCAGAGGAAGCACTAACCGTGGACGGTATGAAAAAAGTCCAAAGGCTCGTATGCCGCGATAGAGTGTACCCATAGTAACATGTTTTCCTTCTTCTCCAAACCATTGGTCAGCGATCTAAGGCTAAACTAAAGTCTAAACTAAACGGTCACGAAGGGCTAGTTGTCTGAAGCGCCTATCTTGACGCTCTGTGGTACGCCTAGGTGGACCAGTTGACCTTCTTCGTGTTCCTCTACCTTCTTCTATCCACCCACGACACACACGCACCGTCATTGCAGTGCATACAAACATCTCGATTAAGCAATAATCTCGCTGTCAAGTCGCTTACATGGCGATAATTTGGACGACTTCGAACTCGAGGCATTTTGTTATGTTTAACACTAATAAATAAAATGGCAATAACTAAAAATATCGGTCTACTCAGCTCTCAGAAACTGTTTTCTTCACAAAAACTAAGAGATAACATTTTAACAAAGGTAAACAAAAACAAAGATAAAACGTTGACATTGTCGCCACAGCATGCTTTAAATATAGTCATTGGTTGCCAAAAAAAACAAGTTGAGGAAATTATTTTTTCTGGGTGTAGCACTTCTAATTTCACCAAGTATACAGGGTGTAAAATTAGTAGTGGATCAACGGAACTTAGGTGATAGAGAGCCTCAAAACCTCTCGAATGAGCCTTTATGTGTGTGGTCCGAAATTTTATAGTTCAGGAGATATTTGCAATATTATGACATATCGATAAAAACGGGATAATGAACTTTCAATCACAATTATAACTAAACCATTAGGTTTAGGGCTGTGATTTTTTTTTGAGATAAGCTAAACGGTTGGTTTTAGTGGTTATGTCACTTTTTAACAGAGCTTATTAGAAATCAACGCAAAAAATCTTAAATTCATTTTTTCGTAAAAAATCTCTTCCATACCTCAACTTTGAAGGGCGGTAAAAAAATTGAGGTTGTATTTTATTATTCATTTTATTGTAAAAACTATTTCCATCCATTTAGAATAAACTCTGAAATTTTCAGCCTGCTACGATGAGTGTATCATGTCACATTCGTTGTTGTGATAAATGTAAGAAACGCAATATAATCCTTACCACCTACAAGTACAGAGCCTATTGTGTGTGTATATATTTTAATACTTATGCCAGTTTGATGAAATATGAATTAAATCACTTTTGACACGATGCAACATTTTTTTTAGATAGATAAATAACCCCAAGCAATTTTGGGGAATGCCCCTTTTGAGACGTGTGCGTATGCGACACAATGCCTAAAATGTTGTTCTGTAACTTGGCTTCTCCCAAAAATGTTTTTTTTGGTAACAAGGTAGAATATTATACTGCCCTCCTTTCCAGGACTCCGTCTCCTTCCGGCGCCGCTCCACGTCACCGTATTTTTACCCGAAATTGTAAGCTGAAACTCCTAATCTTTTTTAATGCCACTATACCTGAAAATCTTGGCGATGCCTGAACACATTTTAAGTTCTTGTGAAACACAATGGCCTAATGCGTACTCCAAGGGAACACTAAATAAGTACCATTGAAAAAAATTGAGAAAATTAATTTTAAATTTTGCCTTTGGGTATCGTAAAGGTAACTTTCACGTCCCCTGGTAGGCTTACTATGCCTCGGCCACGGATGTACTGGATCAAGGATATGAAGGAGATATTGTAGCATCGACTAGCGTGAAAAACAGTAATAAAGCTTTGATTATCTAATTTGTTTTTTATTTTTACGAAAACAATGCTCTCTAGGAAAAACACAAGAGTAATTATTTATAGCAAATTGAAGGTAAAATTCGAAAGATTGCGCGTTTCGAAAAAATTAAAAAAATAACTGTCGGATCATTCATTCATTTTATTTCTAAAAATACAAAAACGAAAAAAAACATCTGGGTAAGTAAAAAACATTAAACAGTAAATTACCCAAGAAATTTTATTGGTTCATGCACCGTGTATATCAATGGATGCTTATAGGATTTTTCAATTATACATTATGTTGTTGTAAGGGGTGTTATTACATGCTAATCTAAGAGCATAAAACCTCATCTAATCTGTGACCTCTTGTGCACTGAAAGCAAAAAACTTATTAAAATATGTTAAACAAAATTAAATTCATAATTATTACTTGATATAAATTGCCTTGAGTATCTCCAAGCTTTTGCTATATCTTTCTTCATTTTTAGCAGCCGTTTCAATCCACTTCTTCTTTACCTTTGACCATCTTTCTAAATGATTTTGCATGAGTACTTCCTTTTCAGGGGGTTCACATTGATCCTGGAATGGAAAAGGTCATAGGTGGATATAAAAAAAAAACATTATTTTATTCAAATCAATTTAATAAAAGGGATTTGATCAATATGTACTGCCTTGCCTTGACTAAAAAATGGCGTCAGGTAAGTTGACTGTACTGCCCACTCACCACTGATATCAGTTCATAAAGTATTACATTTGGCACAAGTTAGCCCTTCTGAGAAAAAAGTTGGCTATGAAGTATAACAAAAAATTAAATGACCTTTCTCCTTCCCCTGAGAGAAATTCCTGAGTGCAAATGATCATTGCTATGACTTATCCCACGTCTATGTCCATACTGATTTTCACAGTACACAGCCCACAGCAGTACGGAAGCGAAAGCCGACTGCGTCGCACGACCATTAGCTGGACCACGTCGCCATATCGGCACGCAACTGTTGGAGATATTTCTAAGTTTTAAGGGTTAATGTTTGGGGACATCTATGATTGAGTGAAATATGTGCAATATGTGTATATAATTACTGGGGTTAGAGATGTTTATACCAACGTCAAAAAACTGTGATAACCATCCCCCAGCCACGGCAACGCCTTACCCCAATTTTCAATCCCTACAAAAAAAAACACCGTTTTTGGCCTTTTCGTACACCATTACTGGGCTGGTTTTCAAAAACTACAAAGCTTTCTCCTTTGGCATAGTAGAAACCTTTTGTGAAAATTTCATCCAAATCTGAGTGACATGGTCCAAAAAACATATCTCATTTTCGAATTTTTTTACGATTATAATACTTCTCGCCAGTAGGTGTGGAAATTAAAAATGAATAAGAGCAAAACAGCTTACATAATTCAGGTTGATATTGTCTTTGTTCTGTTGTTGTTCTGGCAAGGGGGGAGGAATCCTTTTTTCAAATGGTCCAGATGGAGCTGGTAATCTTGTCACTTCTGTTAATGAATCATCTCCATTCCATGATTTGTCTTCTGGTTCTGGTGTGGACAATCTTCGCCTAATATACAAAGTTAGGTTAGTTTGCAGAATATATTTATCCACACAAAAATGGTTTCACACATATAATATGACAATAGATTTTTCAGATATGCCACTATACACCATACAGGATAGATACAAATCTGAAGATTACAAAATGAAAATGTTGGTACTTACTTAACCACAGTTTGTGGATTTTTTGGCTGATTCTGCATCCAAGCCCTACATATAGGATACAGAGGAGTATCTTCTTCAAATCTAGCCAAATCAACACTTCTATCAAACAGCTTCATGACATATGTGTGGTGGTATGGCTGAGGAACCCTCTCAGCCTTTCGTTTTCTGTAACAAATACAGAGTGTCCAACATTGAACTGAAGCGACTGATTGTTAAAAAAGTTAAGGGATGTGTGATAAAACAGGTTCATAATACATAAATATGTGTGATGGTATGGTTGAGGAACCCTCCCGGCCTTCGTTTTCTATAACAAATACAGGGTGTCCCATGTAGAACTGCATCAATTGAGTACTCTAAAAGGTTAAACATGTATGAAAACTTGAAGTTAGTTAAGTTATAACTGTAGCTAACCATCTGCTTGTTTTAAATGTAACTCTATGTATTTTTCAATTTTTGAAATCAACACATATTTATAAACACCTCCATGTATAACATTCTATACCTAACTCTAACTGTTTATGAGAAATACCTTTTTGTAAAAATTTTTCATATATGTCTATATTTGTCTGCTGAGTAGGCTTCATAATTAATAACACAGGGTCAACAAAATCTGATGAAAACTTAATTGTAAAAAATGCCAAGTCAATATTTTCAAATCCCCTATTATTATAATCTCATCATCTTAACAATAAAAATAATAATAATAAACTGTCTTTATTGTTTTTTATAGATAAAGAAATTATGATAATAAAAATTCATTACCAGTGGCAAAGTCTAGCTAATATCTACTCTACTTAACCACTGGGGGAAACGCCCAAATAAGTACATAATTAAACTAGAACTAAGGAACTGATGAAGTAGACAAAAAAATGTATGTAATATTTATGCTTTTAACTATTTTTGAGGAATTAAAATGCTGGTCTGTAAAAGCTTTAAATTGTTCTCTTTCTCAAATGATTTGTAACTGCTTCCTTGTAGAAGGCAGTCTACTTTAGTAGGCTTCATGTGATATTCAGATAATTAATAACCATAAAAATTGCATGAAAATTAAATTGTATAAATGCCAAGTCATTTTTTTCAAATGGAAACCCACTATTCAGGATGTATTGACTTCAAATAAAATATACTTACATTCAATAGACCGATTTGGTAATTGATGCAGAAACATTCTAATTAATGGATCAAAGTCGAAATGTAGTTTTTTCCTATATTGATTGGTAACTGTAGAACGTAGCTCCCTTCATTTTATGCTGGCACTAATTGTGCAAAATTTAAAAGACAGGTTTGAAAATACTTATGCTTTAATGAGTCCCTATTCGTTTTTAAAGTTGTGAAATTGGCACTAACACAGACGGCTACACAAACCTTGAAGATCTCCTATCTGATGAAGAATCACTATCTTCATCAGAAGAATGTTCTGTAAGTTGTTTCAACACCCCCTTTAGCCGTCCTTTGGCCATAAGATAGTCCATTCCCATGGTATTCTCTTCTTTGATTTCCATTTTTACAGGACTTGATCCTGACAATCTGCGTTTCTTCGTCATTGTTTCTGAATTTCCGTTGTACGGTTCCGGCACTTCTAATTGCTTCTATGTTAATTTGAAATTTGGAAACTACTTCAATTTTCAACTGCACCAGAAATGGTCATAGAGGGATTTGTAGATTTCTTATTTGTTTATTTTTTCAATCGAAGTTAACCTATTTGAAGTCAACAACCGTCAACGGAAATACTCGACGCATACTCGCAGCGTCGTTGCCAGATATTTCACGAAAAATCATTGTCCAAATTATCGTATACAGTGCACGAGGCTTCCCTTGCATTGGAATAGATTAGGCTTGTGCTGCTCTTTGTAAATTGTGTAAGAAGTACTATGAAATCGTCTAGCGAACAGTCGAACTTTCGAAAAATAACACTAGATTTTATTTTTTTTATGTCGAAACAGCCGCTCAGGCAGAAGCCTAAATGCCGGAACACCGCGGCTGCTATGATGATCCCAAAGAAATTTTGTTAATACGATTTTTAAACTGCCTAAGGTTTGTAGAACTGGGAAAAGCTTCCTTTTGTAGATTGTTCCACAATCTAGACACCCTCGGGACAAAGGAGCGGTCGTATCCGCCAGTTCTGGATGTAGGAAGTTTGACACGGTTAGGATGGGACGCCGAAGTCAGGCGTGTCTGTCTGGCAGGCACATCGCGCGGCGGCATCAGGGCAGAGAGCTCTGAGGAGCAAAGCCCGTTGGTGTAGTGATAGAAAAGAGCTAGATCGCCGACGGCCCGCCGGCACGAAAGAGTCCCGAGACTGTCTGTTAGAGAAGAGTCATCGATCAGTCGGACCGCCCTCCTCTGGACAGCATCGAGCATGGACAATGTAGTCGAGGCGGCAGCACCCCAAACGTGTGAGCAATACTCGAGGCTTGGCCTTGTATAGAGTGAGAAGGTCATGCGGAGAAAAGTACTTCTTAGCCCTAAAAAAATAGCCTAGCTTTTTCCCAGCAGCTGCAGCTATTGACGAGATGTGTTCGTGCCAGATCAGGTCCTCGGTGATCTGGACTCCGACCAGCCGAAATGAATGGCTCTTTGGTAGAACTCGGCCGTCCATCGAAACTGTATGAGCGGTAGGACGCTTTTTGTTCGTCAACGTACAGTACTGTGTTTTGGAAGCATTGAACTGTACAAGATTGTTGCGTCCCCAAGCAGTGATAGCCTCCAGGTCTCTTGTCAGAGAAGAAGTCGCCACTAGTCTTCTTTTTTCCAGCTCAGCGGCAGATATCGGCTTGTCACACTGAATTCCTGCATGCAGAGTGCTGTCATCAGCGAAGCTGTGGATTGGGTTGGTCGTGCAGGAAAGGAGGTCGTTGATATGTAAGAGAAACACTGTTGGAGCCAAGACCGATCCCTGGGGAACACCCGTGTTGTCGTTGTGGGATAAAGAGGAGAATCCGTCAGTTACGACGGATATCTTGCGGCCAGAGATAAAGTCAGCCACCCATCTGCAAAGCTTTTCTGGGAGGCCATAGGATGGAAGTTTGCTTAAGAGGGCAGCGTGCCACAGTTGATCGAACGCTTTCGTGATATCAAGAGCATCGACATGAGCCTCACCATGAAACTGGATGAGTTTACTCCACAATTGCGTGACGTAAGCTAGGAGGTCCCCTGTGGATCGTTGGTGCCGGAAACTGTACTGCCTGTCGCTAATGAAGCTGTGACGTTCGAGGTAGTCCAGAAGCTCGCGATTTATGCACCTCTCCATGACTTTACTTATAACAGAAAGCAGAGCTATGGGCCTGTAGTTGTAAGGGTCGGTCTTAGACCCTTTTTTGGGATGGGCTGGACATGAGCAAATTTCCAGTTTTCTGGGAAGGTGCCGGATTTATAAGATATCTGGAAGAGACGCGAAAGAACTGGAGCAAGCTCCGCTGCACATCTCTTCAGTACAATGGCAGGAATCAAGTCCGGACCAGAAGCTTTGTTGATGTCGAGCGACAAGAGCACTCGTCTTACGGTCTTATGCCTGAATGTTACCTCCCGCATAGTGTGGGGAACCCTTTGAATTGACGGCACTTGGGCGTTGGTGGGACGTCCATTGTGGAGTTGGCAGCAAAGATCTTGGCTAGCACTTCCGCCTTGGCCTTTGAGTCGAATACAATAGTTCCATCCTGACACGTAAGTGGTGGAAGGCTACTGTGTGAGAAGTTCTTTTCAATCTGCTTGGCCAGCGTCCAGAAAGACCGACTGCCATTGCGCTGCGACACTACCCTGTGCCTAACTTTTATATCGTGCTGGTTTTTGGCATTGCGAACCGCTTCGTTATATTTGTTTCTGGACTCCGCGTCGGCTTGTCTGTTCTCTACTGTGGGGTTTTGTAAGTAGGTTCTGTGTGCCTTGATATTCTGCTGGCGAGCAGTGTGACACGATTTGTTAAACCAGCCGTTGGACCCTGGTTTAGGAACTTTCACTGTGTGAGGGATGTATTCCTCCATTCCGACGTGGATAATTTCGGTTATCGAAGAACAGACAGTCGACGCATCCGCGTCAGTGAAACAGACATCTCTCCAAGGAAAGCTAGAGAAGAAGTCTCTGAGCCCCTCCCAGTCGGCATGTCCGTAATGCCAAGTTTTGCGGCCTGTACGAGTTTCTGCTGCCACAGCGGCTTCTGACCGAAACCTAACCTCCACAACACCGTGGTCTGAGTTACCCAGGGGGAACAGGACAGCAGTGCTGTGGTGAGGAAGAGATCCAGCAGGCTACTGGCGTGTGATGAGACGCGGGGGAAAAAAGTAGGGGTCGTCACCAGTTGGGTCATGCCGAAGAGCGAACGCTTCGACTGCACGACCTGCTGCATCGGTCTTTTTTGAGCCCAAAAAAGGTCAATATGGGCATTGAAATCACCGAGAAGAACTACCTCTGAAGCGGGATGATTGATGTTCAGGAAGTCGATCTGGACGGCGAGGTATTCGAGTAGGTCATCCCAGTTGTGGTTCGAGGGAGAGCGATAAAGGCAGCAAATAAATTTGGGTGATGTTTTGGAGTTGAGGCGAAGCCACAGAATGTCCTTCCGGTCTGATTCCAAAGAAAGATCCCTGGAGCAGGAAAGATTGCTGCGGACAAAAGCCACAACTCCCCCGTTCTTTCTCAGATTGGAGTGCACCTCGTAGTTTGGGAAGTTGAGATGGTTAATCGGTGCAGTCTCTGAGATTTTTGTCTCCGCCAAGAAAAGCACGGCGGGACGATTGGATTTCAGGTAGTGATGAACAGCATCAATGTTGATGTTAATCCCGCAGATGTTCGAAAAACAAATTTTATCTTCGATGTTGTTCCCTCGAGCCCACCTTCCACCCGGACATTCCGAGAGTGGAGTGAGTTTACGTCCGGAGTTCTTAGTGCTCGAAGGATCCATCATCATTAATTTCTTTGTTTTGGAACCGACTGCATAGCTTAGGTGTGGAAACATGCGGACATTTATAAGACACCCTGGGAAAAGCTAGCGGGTGGTACCCCCTCGGTCGACTGGTCCTTGTCTACCACCTTTTTTTACGTGTTAGTGATATTAAGTAGACCTAAAGTGGCCCGTTGGCGGACTTGTACCGCCACCCGGCAATCGGTACTGAGGTATTCCTTAACGCGTGTAGAATCACTTGGACGGGAAGAAGTTGTATACTGGATACAACAACTTCCGGAACAAGCATTTGCCACGGCCCTCGCTCAGTAGGGTTAAATATACGAATTTAATGACAGAACTGTTAAAAATTGACTTACGTCAAGTATACTTTGATCCTCACTATGGACTATGAGAATTAGGAATCAAAGGAATGCTTGACTGGTTCCTTCTAACTAGGCGTTGGTTGGTGTTGATTGAAGATCGAGAGGGGATGTAGGCGTAACACTACTTCGAGAAGAGACTAGACAATTAATTGTGATTGGACGGAAGGAGAGATATTATGACAACGTAATTTTAGGATTCATTCAACACATTCCAAAATGTGGGAGTAAAATAACTCATTCGCAAAATTATCGTATATTCAGCTATTATCGTACACTTGGTATCGTACATTGTTCAGTATTTGAAATTATCGCACAAAAACGAAAAAGCTTATAGAAAGAGGTTTGCTGTCCGATATGTCAATTTTCTAGGTTGCCAAACATCGAAATCTAGGTTATATTTTTGCTATTATGTAGACTTGAACTCAGATTTGCTCGCGAAACGCTCATAATGTACCTGTTCAGTGACCGCTACTTCAGATTTACTGCCAGTAGGTAACCACTACTTTCCGCATCAGCTTCGAAATCCAAATTTGGAAAGTCAACTGGCGACACAGCTAAAGTGGTTAGTACGCATCACATGTCGAAGTTGGCGACGGTGGTGGTAAAAAAATGAGCACAGGCCCGGAGTGAGGGATATATTACAATAATTTGTCTTTTGAAAGCTTTTGAAGGTATTTGCATCGATTTTGGAAAAATATTGAGGTTGTAAATTACATTTTTCTTTCAGAAACAAAGAATTCGTGGAGAAGTAAATAGCAAAATAGAATTTTGCTAATTTTCCACAACCTCTGCTTAGAGTTGTTCTTTCTACAAATCACTTTATTTTTATGCGCTTTTGAACCTTTTGATCACTTTCGACAGTCGAGAAACCTCATTCTACGTTTTGCACGTTACAAGTTTCTTTAACCATACACAATCAATTTTTGTAAGCATCATACAATTTATTGAACACAACTCATACTTATTTCTTGAATTCATTAATTTTTTAGAAAGCTGAAAAAAAGTTGCTTCAAAATGTTTTTATGTTTTTTTGTACTTTGTGCAAATTCCTAGTTTTTTTAATCTTGTCAAAATCAGATTTTTACACCTCAATGTTGAAGCTTTTTTAAGTTCCGGATCTTCTTAGCCAGCATTCAACCGTTTTTTCATTTCTTAATTCGTATGATCCTTTGACAAATGCGAATGTTCCAAATTTTTGTATCGCTTAGGTCATAAATGAAGGCAGATATTTTGAACAACTAGTTTACTGATGTTTCGGTTGTTGTTTCATTTAATAGATACGAAGTGTGTATGTGAAAGTCATTTCGAGACGTATCTCCTTTTTTAGAGGACACCAAAATTTTGACCCCACTAAAGAGGGTATCTACTTATTACACGTCGCAATTCTTACTACTAGCATCCATATTTCCAAGTCGAAAAAATATAAAGTTTCGCATCCTTCTTGGGCAGAGATAAAACAGTTTTTGAAAACTTCTATATGTAGCCACA